GAGATCAAAGTCTTGAATTTTAAAATAGAAAGATTAAGGTAAATAATTTTATAATAGCCATGTTTGGTCAACAAAAACGACAAACGTTATCATCGAACAAATACAAGATATCTTTGGATAAGGCAGATACTTTTTTATTATTAGCCATGGCGAATAACGGAAAAATGTCATGTAATCTCCTCCGGGACGGGTAACGAATAATGTTAATAAAATTTCGATGGTAGCAAAAAAATTGCATTTGTACCCGTTATATGGCGCTTGCCGCCTGTATTCGACTGAATGACTGATTTTACATTTTTACGTCCAAGCCGCTGTAGTAGGTGACACTCCGGGCGTCGGGTTTCAAGCTATGATCTCCAGCTACCATAAGCGCGGGCCTGCAAAACGGCGAGGACCTGGAAAGGTAGCTTACAGCCCGACTAGAAGCAGGACGCGCCAATAGAACCCCACTGATAGAGCCCAACATGGCCGATGTTCATCCGGGGTTGCGGGTCAAGTGCTATAGGGAACCGCGGCCTTGGCCTTTAGCCGGAGAAGGAATGGGGGGGTTATTAGTCAATAAAAGTTGTGTATTGTGTGTCTTTTGATGATTTTCCCCTCACAAAAACAATCTATCTTAGAAAACAGCCGATATTATACAGGCATGTGACTAATAATTGTTATATTACTTAAATTGTATGTTTTTTAACTAAGTCGTATCAATCGTAGCCAATAATCATCTCAGTAGCCGACTAACGACTACTGTTTCTGAAGGTACTGAATCAATATTTATTTTCTAGGCTTATACCTTTAACAATAAAAAATATTTTATTAATTAATTTAAAACATGCGCATGCCTTTAGGGGATATAAAACGTGATCCTATGGTACGGCTAACAATAGGTTCCTACAATTAAGTAGACTATACCAATAAAGATCATGGCGTTTGCTTACAAATGATCTACAACTAAAGATGGCGGTATGGAGCTGTGTCAGGATTACAAATATCAAATTAACATCGTATCTTGATTATTCTTGATACATTGTTAATCAGCATTGATTTATGTCTTGCAAGAGTATACGGAAGACGGCCATTTTGTTTATTAGTTAACGCATCTCATAGTTAGATGAAGTCCACACATGATTTGAGAGACATCAAATACTTTATGTGCGGGAGAGCTATACTTCGGCACGATTGGGTCGGAACACTGACACCGAAAATTAAGAAAACTAAAAATCTCATTTATTAATAAGGCATATTATGAGGCCGTTTCTATTATTCTAGACTTGCTTGCTTGAGGTATCATTTCGATATATATTTTGTATTATTATTATTATGTCTGAATGCTAGGTAGGAACAGACTGATAGAATATTGAAAACGGCAGTAAGACATACCGGGATGGCGATCAAACAAAGAATTATTCCAAAAGTAAGTCTGACACTCCGAGAGAGGTCAGTTGATAAATTTTCCCTCCACAAAAAAAATTGGGATGAATTATTCCAAAATTTACGTTTACAAGAAAATAAAGATGATGGCTTGCTATTTTTTTTATGGTATATTCAACTTTAGTACCTAAAACACTTATAGCGTTGAGAAAGTATTATTAATGTCGAGGTAGGAATGCTATAGGTACCTACTTACCAACGCGCGCGCCTCGAAGAGTCAATAGACTACCACAGACGGGGCCCTATAGGGCTGATGTTCAGCCGGGGTTGCGGGGTAAGCGCAATGAGGCACCGCGACCTCGGCCCAGAGCAGGAGAAGGAACAGGGGGGTTTTTAGTCAGTAAGAGTCTGACACTCCCTCTCGCCCGGCCCTGGGCGGGAGAAGTCATTTGATGATTTTCCCCTCACAAAAAAAATACCTACTTACCAATATTATTAAATAATCTTAACATAATTATTTACGTAATGAATGAACCTACTCATGCTAATGAAGAAAACGTGTTTAAGCTTCCACGTTTTACCACTTTTAGTACAATTTTAATAACTTGAAATTATTATCTTAATAAACATGTAGTTATACTACTTTTCTTGAAATCTTAGGTAATTAGAAATTTTGTAAATAATATTGCTTATTAAAAATAAAGTCATTCAAGTACCCACTTCATTATTTAGATGCTAGTTTACAGGAGTTGCAGCAGTTTTAAGTGCGGATGTGGCAGGGTTATGGCATTGTAAAAAAAAAAAAAAAATAAGTCCTAAACTTACTGAGGACTGTCATAGGGTGCGTTTCCATAGTGCATCAAGTTGTCTAAAGAACCTCTCCGCAGTTGACTTTGGCCCTTCATACGCTTCCCAAATGACCGGGAATTTTTTAATCTTATTTAGTGAATATTTTAGTTTAAAGTAGATATTATTAGTATCTAGAATAGTAGCTATCATCAAAATCTGGATTTGTATTCGACAGGCGTGAAACTTAGGTACTTACTGAGTGACAGACAAACGAATAAAACAAAAAAAAATACTGTAATGTGATAGGTCGGCAAACGAGCAGACGGATTACCTGATGGTGACGGATTACCTGATGGTGAGCAATCAGCGCCGCCCATGGACACCCGCAACGGAGGAGTTACGAGTGCGTTGCCGATCTTTTAGGGATTAGGGATTTGGAGATTTAGGGATTAAGGAGGGATTGGGGGAGGGGAACGATTGGGCCTCCGGTAACCTCACTCACACGGCGAAACGCAACGCTGTGGTTACTTCACGCCGGTTTTCTGTGAGGCCGTGGTATCAATCCGGTCGCGCCGACCCATTCGTGCCGAAGCATGGCTCTCCCACACTTAACATAATAATAATATAATACAAGTATTTCCTTCCGACCGAGGATTAAAATGTTGGGATGAATCATGTGTTGTTTGATAAGACGTTCCATTCAACTTGACTCTGCGTGCAAACCACAGACTATATGTATATAATTTTCCATGGAAGTATTGAGGCAGAGTGACAAACATTTGCTATGTTTTGAAACTATTAGGTATTCTAAATAAATAAGTATAATGTACAATATCTCTTATTACCTAATGGTTGACTGAACGGTTGGCGCAGTGGCGGGGCAACTGGCTGCTGTGCAACGTGTCGTGGGTACGATTCCCGCACGGTACAACACTTTTTGTGATCCACAAATTGTTGTTTCGAGACTGGGTGGCTTGTGTATGTGAAGTATATGTTTGTAAACGCACCCACGACACAGGAGAAAATCCTAATGCGGGGTACCTAATTGTATCCCGCATTGGACAAAGTTATAGTCATCCTCTAGGATAGTGAATTTGACAAGAGATTTTTAAATCGGACCCCACGTTAATGTAATTATATCATTTAAATTATATTATGTACTTACCTACTATGTGTTTTATTAAAATTGGGAAAGATGTTTGCAATAAAAAAATTACGGAGCACAAAAAGCAATAGCTATATAATGTAAAACATAAAATAGATAATTGTAATAGATAAAAGTAGGTCGACACCGAACAAAAAATAACAAAAAAATAGGTATGAATATTTTATCTGTAATTTCAAAGAAAGAAAAAACAAGCAAAAAAGATTTCGTAATACACCAGCGCAGCGCAATGTCATCGTTTATTTTCGTTGAAAGCATTTCTCGTTAATGTTATCTAAATAACAAAAAAAAAACATATTTTTTATAACTTGCTAGGTATTATTTTATTGAGTCGATAAGTCGAGAAAGGTGTTGAGATGTTTTAACATACGTCTGCGCAGTTGACGCGGTGGTTCAACAACTCTTTGTGTGATCCTCATATTGATGTTTCGAGTCGAATGGCAACCAGGACGCAGGACAAAATCCTAGTAAATCCTTGTAGTAAATATCTAAGAGTATTTTATCTTTTTATCAACAATATATAGATGGTGTTTTATCTTTTATTAACTACACAATGTCTGTTCTAGTAATAATAAAGTAAGGTTTTGATTTGACTAGTTAGGAACTATTTAATTAGTCAAATTCAATAGGTAGGTACTGTTTACCTACTTATGAATAAAACCTTACCTACTTTACTATAACAATGACCGACGGTATTGAATTCGACTAGTTTAACTATGTAACTAATTAAATTCAATATCTACTGTTTCCAATTTTTTTTCTATGAGTTTTTATTTATATTATTTGCAATTCTTGCATAGTGTACTTAGCGCCTTAGGTAGGCATTTCTATGAAATTTCATATTACAATCGTCATATCATATATTTTTACTTTACTTTCGACGTTTTAATGATACTATTTGCGACAACACGGTAATAATTATATTCATATCATGTATTATTCCGCCCGAGTAAAGCAAGTGCTTAATTAAATCTAATTTATTTTAAAACTAGAAGTAAGTTATATTTGTACGAAATAGCACATTGTACCTAATATCACATTTTTTACGCCAAACAAGTTCAAAAAATTCAAAAATGGTAATATTTAGTCTACCGTAAAATAAATTAATGAAGTTGTGATTATTTTCATCAATTTTTGTAAGTTGAAATTTATTAATTTCTCTATGACCGAGGAAACTACCCAGTTCCTAGTTGTAACGTTGTAACTTTTTTACGTCTAATAACATGCTCTATTTTTTTTATGGTATAGGTTGGCAAAACTGGCATACAGATTACCTGATGGTAAGCAATCAGCGCCGCTTTTGGACACCCGAAACACCAAAGGAGTTACGAGTGCATTACTGGCCTTTTAGGATAAGGGTTTCAGATATTTAAATTTGGGAAGGGATAAAAGAATAAGTAGTTATAAGAATTAATGAAGGCATTAGCCTTCATTAACTATGTTAATGAGCCCCATAAATATTTGGTTAACATAAAAACACTATCGCGACCAAGCTATTCCGTATGACTATCATTATCATTCCGTATCAGATGAGCTCACGCCTAATCACAAGTGTTTTGGTCAACTCTTTGTATTTTCTTACTATTTATAAGTGATTCAACTTTTATACTCAGAACAAATACATTTTGTGACCAATTCATGCGTCGGATAAAAAGTTACATAGAATTATGAAATACAGTACCTCTTGAATGTAAAGCTCCTCGCCAGGTGCGCCTGAGTCGACCCCGTAGCTGTCATCGCAGGGACGCGAGTACAAGTAGAAGAACTGCTCGTGCGCAACGACGCTTGACATCACTTTTCCATTATACACGGGTGGACTGAAAGGATTTATTGCACTCGAGTTCGTTTCAGTACAACTCCCGTTGAAAAATGCTGTGCCCTCTCTACAACATCTGTGTATGCATATCCGTCCGATGCAGGGACAGCCCAACACCAGAGTCGTCCCGTTCTCTTCGAGCTCGTACCACGTTCCGTCTTTATATTCCACCCCTTCATATATCACAGAGGAGTTGGGGTGCTTCACACCATCCGTTATGTCCACACTCCGCACCCTCGTGCACGGAGTACCTCCGATAATCCCCACCACCAAAAGTGCCAACACCGCTACCAAAACTAACTTCATTTTCGGGCCACTATTCACACAAACTTCTGCACTATGTTACTTAATACAAGTTTTTACTTCATTCCTGAATTAAGACAACTAAACAATACAAGAATATTTCACGAGAAATTGTCATAAACGAATTAAATTCGCACTGGAAATGTTATTATCACGGCTGAAGTGTTCTTTATCTGTGTGCTAGTGAGGTAATTTGATGTATCATTTTTGTAATGATAAGAGATAAGGGACGATCGCGGTCTCGCGGTCTCGCGGTTAGTGGCTGGAGGGGGAAGGCGTGTTGCAGTGCCGCGGTGTGAGTCCCGACTGGCCGGCGGGCGACGGACGGCTGCAGGCTGGAGCCGCGTGGACTCGCTACGACTGTGAACACCTCTGCGAACGCGCCGAGTGACGCGTCTTAAGCATCATACTTACACCTCCTATCTAACAGCGTCGTTTGTTTACTATAATGACGCACCGTAACAAGTTCACAGGCGTTTTAATGAAACTATTTGCGGCAACACGGTAATTTATTCATATCATGTATTATTCCGTCCGAGTATAGCAAGTGCTTAATTAAATCTAATTTATTTTAAATTAGAAGTTATTTACAGGTGTAATAAAGTAAGGCTAACATGTGTGTTGTAATGTAACGTTTTTGTTTTTGAGTTATAAAACTCATAGATATGAATGTTCGAAGTTTTTACATGGGTTTTTTTTTCGGTGATTAGGTACCTACTATTGATGCGAACGTCCTAATAACTGGAGATTTTAGTTGTTCTATGCATGCAAGCAACATAGGACTTGTGGCACCGCCCCAGTTAAAAAGTTACAGGTGTAAACGTTAATAACCACATATTTTTATTTTATTTCATTTTAATACTTAGTGGAAGAACTGTGTAATACAATGTAACATCCACTATTCTTTCGATTGGTGCTTGCCAGGATTCGATATGAAAAGCGGGCGTCCTAAACACCGGGCTATCGCGACTATATGTATTAAAATTAAATAGCCAATAATAACGTGTTCGAGCGGAGAATTAAATGGAACTCCACCAAAGAGGCAAAATCCTCTCCAATCCTTTTTAGAGAGCCTATAAGCAATTTACTTCACATTGCTTCGATAGATGGCGTTGCACATCCGTACCGCTCAAGTAGTAGTGTTGCAGATGACACTAGAGCAGTTACTAGTGCCTTACCAACCCTTTAGGAATTTATTATTGGGAATTGAAGGTAATGGGAAGGGAGGAAGAGTTTGGCCAACAGTAAGCTCACTCACACGGCGAAACACTTGTTTTCACCGGTTTTGTGTGAGGCCGTGGTATCAATCTGGTCGAGCCAGCCCATCCGTATATACTTAGCATGGTTTTTTTCGTGAGCGAGTATTATTTATACCCAGTTGTATGTACCCAGTTGATATGAAAGAAAAGTCCACTGGACTGTCCCTGTATTTTTTTTTATGTAATAATAGGTCGGCAAACGAGCAAACGGATTACCTGATGCAAAGTAAACAGCGCCGCCCATGGACACCAGCAACGGAGGAGTTACGAGTGCGTTGCCGACCTTTTAGGGATTAGGGTTTTGGAGATTTAGGGATTGGGGGAGGGGAAGGATTGGGCCTCCGGTAACCTCACTCACACGGCGAAACACAACGCTGTGGTTGTTTCACGTCGGTATTCTGTGAGGCCGTGGTAGGTATCACTCCGGTCGAGCCGACCCATTCGTGCCGAAGCTTGGCTCTCCCACACTTTAAGAATAGATAAAATATCGTGTATAACCTTTGCCTATTTATGATTTAACGACTGTGTCTGCGCTAGTATAAACTGTGTTACAGACACAGGCGCCTTCCTCTTACAATTAATATAATAAAGGTATTGGAAAGAGTAAAAAAAAAATACATATATTAAATAGTTTACCATAATATTAGCAAGTAATGTGTGTTTGTGTGTGTGTGTGTGTGTGTGTGTGTGTGTGTGTGTGTGTGTGTGTGTGTGTGTGTGTTGTGTGTGTGTGTGTGTGTGTGTGTGTTTGTGATCGGATGAGTGAGTATTGGTGTATTAAAGTTGTGCGTTTAGGATATTAGCTGTAGTATTGACTATGTGCGCGACAGTGGCGACGCGTAGCGTTTACAACAGTTCCGGAAGCTGTCAAATAATAACAATGTAAACATTATATTTTTTTGCAAATATAAATAAAACCAAAGATTAAAATATTATAGTTGGCATTATTTAAGTGTAATTTATTTAATAGTTTTACTGTAAAATGAATACAATAATAAAAACCGATAGGTCCGCATTTGTTTCCAATTTCTGCCGTGTTGTGCGCTGCGGTCGTTATCTGTCCGCCACTACTCGCTTTGCACATAGCGAATCAGCCCTAAAATAAATAGGTATTTCTCTTTTTTCTGTGCCCGTATGCATGTGTGAAAGTGGTACGATTAGATAATATTAAGATTAAAAGTTGAGGTATTGACCCTATCATTTGTTGTTTTTTATTTACTTGCCCTGCTACTCGTCGCAATGTGTCTTCATTGTTCTTACATATAATACATATGTACAATATTGGATCAAATAATGTATTAGTAAGATTGTAAAATATATATATTTTTTTAATAAAAACGTTGCCCCACACTAGGATTTTCTCCTGTGTCGTGGGTGCGTTTACAAACATACAATTTCACATACACATGACACCCAGACCCGAAACAACAATTTGTGGATCACACAAAGTGTTGTTCCGTGCGGGAATCGAACCCGCGACACGTCGCACGGCAGCCAGTTGCCCAGCCACCGCGCCAACCGTGCAGTCAAATTCAATTTTTAAAGAATAACAAAGTAAAATTTGAGGTTATTTTTCGTCCATCCACATTTTGGATCGTGCTACAAATGTCAGACCGTCTGTCTGATTATTTATTCTACTTTTTGACGTTTCTGAATTGTCCACTACTGGGCATAGATTGAGTTACTATGACACTAAGGCCCCTATCCCTCTAGACGTTTTACTAGCGGTGACGTCACCGTCGCGTTGCTCAGCGTCGACACCGTGCTGGCGCGACGTTAACGCTGCGTCGTCGTTTGATGAACGCAAAATCTACGTCGCATCTGCGCAACATTAACGTCGCGATTGTTGAGAACAGGTACAATCACGCCATCCTGCTATATCAAATGTAGTCTTTGGCATACACGTGTTGCCAACAAACGCGACGTTAACATTGCGCAAACGCTTGCCACGCGACGATGCGGCGTTAACGTCCAGTCGGATAGCGGCCTTAAAGTATGAAACATGCATTTATTTGCCACCACATATGAAGGAAAAGCAGAACAAGGAATGGAAAACTTTGGGAGAGCCATGCTTTGGCACGAATGGGTCGGCTAGACCGGAGATACGAGAGATGATACCACGGCCTCACAACGGCCGTGTGAGTGAAGCTAACGGAGGCCCAATCCTTCCCCTTCCCAATCCCAATCTTCTATTCCCTAATCCTCAAAAGGTCGGTGGACATGGTCAATTCAATCAACGAGAGATGGTCCAAATTTAGCAAAACCCTCAATAACAGTGTTTACTGCTGTTGTTGGGTTAATAAATCAATTATATATTATTTCCTCAGGAAACCTAAAGTCAATCACAATTTTGTTTAACTAGACCATATAGGTACTCGTATTTGCGTGCAATAATTTTTTTTTTAACTCAAAAAATAGAATTGCAGTAATAAATTAATCATGGATTTAAACTAATTAGAACAAAAACGTATAAAGGAATACGCTTCGAGAGTTATACGGATCAATGAATCAATTATATTTATTCAAATCTAGTAGATACGTTTTGAGTTAGTACAATTATAATTGGTATTTTTGCTTATTGCACTGAAACATAGCTGTAAGAGCTTCCTAGCGACATCTAGGTGAATCATGAACAAATAATGTTTAAACAGAATATAGATTTCGATGGCGTATTATATCTTTTCATTATTTATAATTCATATTTACTAAATTGTTATTGAGAGGTTATTATATAATAATAGTTAGATAATGTTATAGAGAATAGATTTAATTATATTCCGCCGGTTTGCACCTAATCCTCTGTTTTTCAACATTTTCGAAAGATGGCGCTGTTCGCACATAACCTGGTTTCTCATTACATTCATTTCAAAAATGATAAGAGTTATTCCTAATATCTCTCAGTATAAGAAAATCATAACAAAATTATCATTTTTGATATAACAATACCTAAAATATACTTATTATTTTATCAGTGTACATCTTATACACTGATAAAATAAATATTTGATAATTAAAATTTTGTCTATGGTGAGGGAGTTCCTGCAAAATGTATTTCAAAGATGAGAAAGTACAATGGTTCCGCATAAGTATTTATTTATATCTGTACCACGGTAAATTATAAATAGGGAACGGAAGTAATTTAGTAAAAATTTACATTTCGTTATTTTTAGGTCCTATCTGTTTAATAACAGATAAATAGATTGAATTCAAACAGAAGGGTGTATGTTTGTTATTCTTTCACGCAAAAACGGCTGTACCGATTTGGTTAAAACTTGGTATGTACATAAATGGTACCCTGGATTAACACATAGTCTGCATTTTATCAACATACCACGTGGGCGGAGCCGCAAGCGGAAGCTAGTGTACGATAACTTTACGTTTTTCATTCCCCGATATAATTTATTAAAGCCGAGACAAACAATAAATCGAATATTATAATAATACGATATGTGTAATAATGTGGTACATTGAGTTACACACCATAAAATTGATATTGTTATGTCCCTGAAATAAACTTATAAGGAAATAAAACTAAATAAATTATAAAAATAAAAATGTAATCTATATATTTTTTTTAATTTATTTTTTATTGTTTTTATTAATTTTCTACATTTTGCTTGCGACTTTGTTTACGTGGAATAGTGACTTCCTGGAGTTTTTAAAAAACTATCCAATGTCCTTTCTCGAGTTCCAAACTATGTGTGTACCAAACATACACATACACATATAGGTTCAGTAGTTTAGGCGTGAAGAAAAGACAGACAGACAGAGTTACTTTCATATTTATAATACCTATTAGTTTGGATTTATTAACATTACCCTGACCCTGGTGTAATCTACCTACTTAGTTCCAAAAAAAAAAGATTTATATACGTATATACGTATGTATGTTAATATTGCTACGATATTGGTACCGGTATGGTAAATATTATCAGCTACAATCGCTAAGTGTATAATAATATGTGTATAGGGAGTTTCAATATTTTACTAAGGAACCCTATACCTATCTTATTTTAGTCTATGGTCCGGGAGTTCCTCGTGTGACGCAAACGCTTGTCTGTTTATAAGGTGAGGGTGGGGAGGATTCTGTTCAGTTCCGTCTGACGCGTTACTTGTGCAGTTGTGCAGTTTTTATTTAGTGTGCATTTATTCCAAATCCTTTGTACTGGTGACGGTGAGTTATTTTTATGTAAATAGATAAACGATAAATAACGCGGCCATGGATCGATCTGCAAATGAAATATAGGTATATTAATATGCGAGAGGGGCAATGTTTTTGACGAAACTGGCTGACAAACCACATGATGGTAAGCGAATCACACATGGAAATCACAATGGCGTCTCCGTAAATTTAAGAAGGAATACGCTCTTTTCTCGAAAGTGTGAAGGTGATCATTTTGGAAATTCGACCGACGACAATTCATTCTACAAAGTTAATAAGTAAGTGTCTACCTTCAGTGGTGTTTTTTAATTTAAGTATTTCAAAAATAATTCACTTAGGGTTGATTTTTAAAATAGTCAAAAGAATGTTATCCGAGGAATAAAATTGTTGCTTACACTGTCTTATACATTTTGACGCGACAGCATCATAATAATTCTACAGTTTACTTTCTTTCTTCTTCTTTTCTTTTTTTATAAAACGTTGCCCCACATTAGGATTTTCACCTGTGTCGTGGGTGCGGTTACAAACATACAATTTCACATACACACACACCCAGACCCGGAACAACAATTTCATCAAAAACTTTCATCCAACCATTGAAAAATCTCAGCCCATACACTACTGAGTATAGCTTCTCTTATGTCTATTTGTTACTTAAATCTATAAAACGTCCGTGTCTATATTAGTAATCTCACGTCTACGTAACCGAAGAGAATGACAGCGCGATAAATAAATTCGCTTATGGACGCCATTTTGTTCTTGTACTTGCAGTGGTCATTGACTGATTCTAAAATCAATATTTTGTTTGTTTCACTACAATCTCTTTCATATTGTAAGTGAGCACGACCAAATTCCATATGAATGATAAAGTTTTTTGGATAGAACGTCAATTTTTGTAAGATGGTTAGGTATATCTGTACTGGAAATCCAAACAAAGCTGTGGTGGTAATCTCTGAGCTAAAAAAATATATATAACGAAACATACACTGTCGAAACGGGGTTCGATTAAGAAGGTGTAATGATGTGTAGATCTGAATGGCCACTTCGGCGTACATTAGTGCATCTGTGAAGTAATCCTCCATGTAGTGTATGTCATTATGTTATTTATTGGGAATTCATTATCCCTTTAACGGTGGGAGAGTGACCAGCAACAGGACGAGCTACGAGCAACTGGGCGGATGCTGAGTCCGGAGCTCAGTCCCTTGCCCATTTCCCTAGAAAGGGTAAACCGTATATCATGCCTTCCTTGGTTTAGGAAAAACGAAAATTTTATTAAGCCTAGAGTCGGCCAGAAACAGTCACACCATGAAAAGATAAGCCGAATAACACGCCTTCCTCAATGTTGATTCCAACATTTTTATTTAGCCTATTGTCGGTTAAAAACTCTGTCAGGTTGGACAGAACAACGACTTTAGCAAAATAGGGTTATTATATGTACAAATACAGTAGAGTAATGTTTTGTTTTGTTAATTTCAGATCACAATGGGTATTCTCGCCGCGATTGCCGTGAATCTTATCGGAGGTATCGTACTGTACGGTACGGGAGGACTCCTGGCCCCTATTGTGGCGCCATTGTTGGGTTTTAGTAGCGCCGGCATCGCTGCAGGCTCAGTGGCCGCAGCTGCGCAGGCCTACTACGGCAACCTGGTAGCCGGCTCCATCATTTCACAGCTTACGGCTGCAGCAATGGTCGCCCCCACGCCGTAAGTATTATTTCTGTTACTACGATAAAACATACGAAAAAGGCACGTTTGCCAATACCAATATTATAAAGTTTATATGGAGGGGGTTAATATTTGGAACCGCTGGTCGATTCCAAATGATGGATAACTACAATATTCCTTGGGTTTATTGGGTGTTATAGGCTATAAAACATTGAGCTACGACCGAGCAGCGCAGCGGGTGAAACCGCGCGAGAGTAGCTAGTTAGGTACTTATATTATTCCTTTATCATTCTTGTAACGACACAGTATATATTTACTACGTCTAAAAAAAAGATGTGTACAAATTAATTTTTAAATATTTCCAGATAGATACATAATTACTGTGCCATAAACTTTCTACCTTTATTGAGTGAAAATTCAAAAATTTCCGTGTCTTCGTTAAAAGACGCTTGTCTGAGATTTTATTTTGAATGAATGAATCAATTAAAAGTATCAGTAGTTGCAGTGAAGAATGCTGATAACTTTAAATGATCGATATTTAACACTACTGTGTGCACAATGCACATAGCATATAGCATAAATTTGAAAACAAAATAGCTTAGGTACTTAAAATAGCTAAATCATGTCTCAAGGTAGTATATTATTACATGCATCGCATTAAACGTTACTTTCGTTTCAAATATAATGAAAGTACCTACACATACTTTTAGATTTATATTAAGTCCACATAATCCATACCTTACTGATTAAGTAGGTATTATTACTTCTTCTTTTGGTACCTAATGTTGTAAATTCCATTAATAAGTTGTACTAAATACAACCATTACATAGGCAACAAGACAGAATGCAGAAATAATGATCCTTTTTCTCTCTTTGTTTCAGTTAATCTATCACAACATTCACCATTATTTCAATGCAAATGTGAAATAAAGGATTGAATTACAATGGATTCGGTTGTTTTTAATGTCCATCACCTGTTAGGAATTACAAAAAAAAATAAGTATGTAATCGACCATATATACATATATACAGTAGGGTAATGTTTTGTTTTATTAATTTCAGATCACAATGGGTATTCTAAAAAAAACCATTAAATGCACATTTTGGAATATAGTTCACGTCCGTGTTTAAAAAATGTTGGCCCATTTTATACATAACTAGCGGCGCGCCCCTTTTTTGCACGGGTATCAGACTACGGCTATATTAATTGACGTGTAAAGTAAATATTTTCTAGTCAATATCGTAACAAAAAATTTTTTATTATAATCTTTAGGTACTTTTAAGTAAAAACACCACACTCTCAAATATTTAAGTTTAATTAAAAACTAATTCTTATAAGAAACTTATTTCTATGCTCGTCAAACTTCCCACCATAATTCTCGTTGCCCTCTTTGCGCGGGAAAACTTTATTCATCTGTCTCAGTTGACAGACGACAGCGTCACCACGGCAGCCAGTGTTGCCGAGACCACAGATTATATTAGTGACGTTCATTTAGTTGATTTTCGTCGTCTAACAGTACGAAGTTGTCTACATAATTTATTTAAGTCTTTAACAAATAATATCTCGATGCCAAATTGTAAGAAGCATTGCCTATTCATACAATTTAAAAGAAAATACTTTTAATAGTGGAGACGAAATACAGTTATAGTACAAAGAAGTGAGAATAAAACAACATTTTATGGTGAGTAAAGGTTTATTTAGTGTTTGCGTGGAGATCATAATAGAGTCCTTTGAGGTCGAGAAGCTGCTGATGGGTGCCCGCTTCGGCTACATGGCCCTTGGCAACCACACAAATAAGGTCGGCGTCACGGATAGTGCTTAACCGGTGCGCGATAGTGATACACGTACGGCCGGCCGTCGCTGCGTCTAATGCCTCTTGTACTACCTATTGAACATTTCAAACTTACATAGCTGACTCATGTACGTACTGTAATAGGTTGGAGAGTCTGTTAGCTCACAAATACCAATGTGCCTAACGTACCTCCGTCAGCATGACCTAACAACTACCAAGGTTATAACTATATTTTTGGATTATTGGTCGACTATTAGGTACCGGGTAAGTTCGGGTTACTTTGACCCTGCGGGGTAACTTTGATCCAAACCCTTTAACCAATAGTAACTGAGAACCAAACATATATTAGTTTTTCATTGGTTCGGAAATTTGGATCAAAGTTACCTCCCAGGGTCAAAGTAACCCGAACTTACGGTATCCATAAAATTAATTTATTCTAATGTCAAACTTGAATAATGTAACTTTCTATTGCGAGTAAAATGTTTTCTTTGAGTATTATGGCTACCAATGATCAATTGTAGTACCGGAGTGATACCACGGCCTCGCAAAAAACCGGCGTGAAACAACCACAGCTTTGTGTTTCCTCGCGTGAGTGAGGCTACCAGAGGCCCAATTCTTCCCCTCCCCCAAAAACTCCGAAACCCTAATCCTCAAAAGGCCAGCAACGCAATCGTAAGCCCTCTGGTGTTGCGGGCTTTCATGAACAGTGCTGATTACTTACATACGAGACATGATGGATGACGTCACGATAACATATTTTCTTTTACACGCGCTTGTAGTTGATGGCATGAACGACTAGTTTCTCGGTGGGGGTAAGACGATATAATTCATTGAATAATCAACATAAATGCCATTTCAATAATAAAAATACAGAGTATGCAAGCACCTTTACCTTTTCACTTTCGGTGTCCAAAGCACTAGTGGCTTCGTCGAGCAATAGGATCTGTGGTTGTCGAATCAGCGCTCGGGCAATAGCCACCCTTTGTTTTTGTCCACCCGATAACTGCATGCCTTTCGCACCAATGTTCGTATCATAACCCTGGTCATTTAAAACCATACTGTTTTAATAATAGACCTCAATTGATAGGGTAATAAAAACAACAGACAAAAACAAAGGTAAATTATCAACAGTATAGACGACAGTAAGGTAGCAAATCGTCAGCAACATTATTTAAATACTTACTCTGAATTATAAAAAGCCAAAATATTCGCACTTTATTAAAACATCACAACTTAAATTAAGGGCTGATTTTTAAATAGTCTGATAAATGTTATCTGAGGAATAAAATTGTTGCTGTCACTGTCTTATACAAACATTCTGATGCGACAGCATCATAATTATTCCCCAGGTAACTTTTATCTAACCATTGAAAAATAAGAAAAATGTTTATTGTTGGTACCCATTGTAGCAACAACGTAAGCCTCATAACGGGAAGAATGTTCCTATCTATCGGTGCTAAGAATCGGATTACCAACGAAGTATCCTTTTATCTTTATCATCTTCATCAACAGCCGGAAGACTTCCACTGCTGAACAATGCCCTCCCCCTTAGTCCTCCACGTTACCACGAACGGCAAGTTGCGACCATTGGATCCCTGCGACTCTGACGATGTCGTCGATCAACCTAGCGGGAGGCCTGCCCACGCTACGTTTTCCAGTTCTTGGTCACCACTCAAGTACTTTGCTTAGTTAATTAGAAAAACGTCATTATTGTACGGTTATGACCTTACCTGTGGTAGAGATACGATAAAATTATGAATGTTAGCTTGCTTAGCGGCGTGGATAACCTCTTCATGGGTCGGGGAGCGCATGTAGTCCCCATACGCGATATTCTCCGCAATGCTGTAGTCAAACAATACGGGTTCTTGCGACACCAGCCCGAAACATGCGCGGGCTTCTGACAAAATCAACCCCGCCAGCGGAATGCCGTCTAGACACTAGGAAAATCAACAGGTACAAATTATTAAGTGTGGGAGAGCCAAGCTTGGACAATAAGTCGGCGATGTCACAATATCACTTAAGAGAAAAAAAACCAGATCGTTGTATTTCGTGCTGTGAGTAAGGTCACCGGTGGTAATTCCCTTCTATGAATCCTATCCTTCACTATATCTCTGAAACCCTAATCTCCGAAAGGCCGACAACGCATTCGTACTCTCTGGTATTGCGGGTGTGTATGGACGATGCTGATTGCTTACCATTAGGTAATGCCTCTGCTCGTTTGCCGACCTATCACAAAAAAAAACATTTCTGTAATTTAGCGCAGCATTCAGCAACTTCCAAGCTTTCGAATAAACAACCTAAGCTATGTGTCATGAAAACTATCTCCTGAAATAGGGGCCTTTTCAAAGGTGATTTCGTCATCGTAACCAAAGAAAATCAGCGATTATATTTTACAATAACAATATACATCTACATATACCTACTAATATAATAAAGAGGTAAAATTTGTAAGTTTCTATGTAGGAGGTAATCTTTGGAACCGCTGCTGGCCGGATTGCCAAAATTCTTTCTTTGATAGATCTCTACAATGTTCCTGAGTGCTACAGGCTATAAAACATCACGCTACGATCAAATGTTACTGAGCAGCGGGTAAAACTGCTCGAGAGTAGCTAGTATAATATAACAGATTGATATAAATCACAAATATAGGTGATTCAAATCTTACTCCATTTGGTTACTCACTAAAATAATAAAATAACTCCTCTCTCTGTGGATGGGGAGTGTCAGACTCTTATTCAGGGCCATGTTGCATTATTAAGCTTGCGGAAATTCCCTAGGAAACGGGAATTAGCGGAAAAATATTGTAATTTGGCATACAGGTAGATACCTTAGTAAACTTAAAGCTCAGTTGCAACTGGATATCAAATCGATGTACCCACAAGAAAGGGACAACATTGTTTAAAAAAGGTTGCATATTAGTTATATACGCCTACGAAGCCGAGGGCAAAAGCTAGTTACAATACCGCCAACATATCTTGGCGAGTCTGAAGTTAGCCGATTAGCTGCGCAGTACTTAATTTTGTTCCTAATTGATCCATTGCGCAGACAAACGGCTAACTTCAGACTCGCCAAGATACGTCGGCCGTACTATAATTATATAATGCTCGAACATCAACTTACAACGGCTCCGGAATCAGGATCGTAGAATCTTTGCAGAAGTTGGATGACAGTACTCTTGCCACAACCACTGCGTCCCACCAAAGCGATTTTTTTACCTCTCTTTACCTACACAATTTATAAAAGAAATTATATATCTAAGTATATTAATATTATAAAGAGGCAAAATTTTTAAGTTTGTAAGTTTGTATGTAGGGGGTAATCTTTGACACCGCTGGTCGGATTGCCAAAATCTCTTTCACTGATAGATAGCTACAATGCTCCTGAGTGCTATAGGCTATAATACATCACGCTACGATCAAATGGAGCTGAGCAACGGGTGAAACCGCACGATTCAGCTATAAAATATCGAATGCGTACCATAACATTGTAAAAAAACACCTAAAAGTGTGCCAAGTTCTACCATTTATGTCTTTGCCAAGTTAAAAGTCTCGTCTAGTTAAAATCTAAGACGACAAAACGAAAATAAATATAAATCCGTTGTAAAATAACAATGAGATCACAATAACTATTTGCTCGAATTTGAAACTTATTGACGGTTTAAATTCCAATCCCCAACCCTTCGTAACCCTTATGATAAGCGAAACCCCAAAAAGCCGGCAACGCACTCGTAACTCCTTTGGTGTTGTGGGTGTCCATGGGCGGCGTAGATTGTTTACCAACAGGTCCAAATCCGTCGTTTATCCAAGGTCAATCGTTTGCGGATATCCTATAAAAATATATAACAAGAACCTATGTACTACACCTGTAAGTCCAACCCTCGTAGCACATGTACTCCTGGTCTAGTTGGATATCTGAAATGCACCGCTTCTAAACTCGCCTCGCCTTTGGATTTCTATGAACGTGAAATGTAATAAGTTCCATTAATGTATGTTGCCATTTAACGTACAAATTTAGCATTTCATAACGTTTATTTATAATAAAAAGTAAAAAAACTAAAGCCCATTACGACAAAAAACGACGCTGAAAAAGTATAAAACAAGATTTTTCGGAATACTGAAAGGCGTAGTCACATGTCAAAGTGCTACGGTAGGTAGGTATATGTACATATTTAGATAATCTTAGAATTAAAACAGATGTAGAAATTTACATTATAAATCCTACTGGAAAATGAGATAAGAATGAATTGGAATTTAAGTACGGCAGTGCTAGGCTTCGGCACAAATGGGTCGCATCTACCGGTGTGATACCACGTCAAAAATAAAAACGTAAAAAAATCTTACGAAGGGAAAGACAAGGGGTGTAACCGGATCACATATTTGTGGCTTGGATTCAAGTAGGGCTGTGATCCGGGTGGCTGCACTCACACCCTTCTCCAACTCGGGTGTGAAAGTAAACGCATTCTGCATCTGACCCGACGCCATTTGCAACGATTGGGTGGTCCTGTAATATCATTTTTAACCTGAGGCTTCAAACTTATTCCCGTCATAAAATTTGCTAATACTATGTGCATTTTGAAGATAAAATAAATAAACTAGTTACTAAATATGAGAAACGAATTTAATTCAAAAGAATAGTAAGGGCCCATTAGTTTAATTTTACGGCAAAACAATTCAAAGTAAGATTGTTTCAATCTTACTTCAGTGTGAGTAAGAGACAGAGCTAGACAACTTGTATAGCTCTTTCTCTTACCCACACTGAAGTAAGATTAAAACAGTCTTACTTTGAATGTCATGGTTACCCCCTTGTAGGGACAAGGGGGTAACCAAAAAAAAATGCGTGGTACTTCAAACGTATTTAGGGAAATAAGTTTGAAGTACTTACCACGCGTTTTTTTTTTGCAAACACATCTTGTTTTGTCCACTTTTCACCAGGCTCGGACTTAACCATCAAGAACTGCGTAATAAAACTTTGGTCGGTTGTCACCCTATAACGCCCCTGAATTCCTGAAGTCGGACAAACCGCGTGACGTCACAAGATACTGAATATTGTTTTAGCTCTTCCACTGGTACATAGCTACTAAGTGCTTGCTACCGTAACTAATTTAAGGATTTGACTAAAACGATACACCGACGTGATAAGAGCAAAAATAACATAAAAAATAGTTATCCGCATTTATATTGAAAATAACGACATAATCTGTTGTCAGTTCGCTGCGCGACGTCACCGCGCGCGCTCGCTGCTCATGAATAAGAGTCCCGATGTAACTTGAAACTAGTAGAGCTTTTCTCAATTAATTCAAGTAGTTATTTTCAATAAATTTAATATGTCTCGTCTCTGTCGTATTACCTAATGCTTTAAATATCTATTTACTTTTATTAAGTACACTACATAAAACTCACACCAAAATATTTTCGTAAGCGACTCCTTCAGACACTATGAGATGCCCTCCGTAAGTAAGCGAAGCGGCATTAATGAAGTTGAAAATGGAGCGCGACAGTCCATTGACTAAGCCGCGACAGTGAGCAGCTTTCTTCGCATCGGCGAGAGCTGGTTCCAGCTGTTTCACGTACTCATTGACGAACATACGCTCTCGACCAAGACAGACAACAGTGCGCACATTCGACACCGCTTCTATTGCTATCTGAACAACATTAGCATCTGTTAATTTTCTTTTTTCTTTTTTTATGTGGGACATGATGATAATGAATTTCCATTAGAGACTTAAACGGAAACGTTCAAAAAGAAGCTGAACAAGTTTAAAAGTCAATTTATGTTATATGTTGCGGGTACAAACGCAATGTTGTACCGCGGCCCGGGTCGGGGCAGGAGAAGGAACGGTTTGGTTGTAGTCAATAACATTGTGGCACTTCCTCTTGCAGGGCAGGAGTACCCTGTTATTATTATTATTAGCCGTTATCGTCTCACTGCAGGCCAAAGTAGAACATTGTGGATGATTTACCAAGCATACATAAAAATAAACCTAATTAAGAGAAAAACTTCCACAGCTAAAATAAAAGCCACCTTCTACTGTCATTCAAGGATTTCCCAAATAAACATCGTTCAATATCATCAAAATTTTATTTATAATGTCTATAGTATATCTACTAGTTACAACTTTACTATTAAAAACATCCAGCATTACCAGGATCAATGATATATGGCTTTATGCTAGGTCTAAACCATTGTATTGTCAACTCAATAAAGTGCTGTGGCCCCGGCCTGGAGCAGGATCAGAAATATATAGATAGTTTTTAATCAGTAAGAGTGTGACACTCACCCAGGTTGAATAATCCAATGCCTGCCCAGGGTCGGGTGGTAGGGAGTGTCAGACTCTTACTGACTAAAGACCCCCCCGTTCCTTCCCATGCTCGGGGCCGCGGCCGCGAAGCCTCGTTGCGCTTGCCCCGTAAAACCGGCTTAAATCACCCAGGGTAGGTGAACCATTTTTATTGTTTTCCTCCTCAAAATTACACAATTCAAAATAGTATTAATCACCTTGGTGCTGCTTTCCAACGCCTTGGCGTTTCCATAAGATTCTCTTCGAGTGGCTTTAATCTGTTGATGTATGACGATGATTATGAGGGGCAGGAAGCAAAGCGCGACCAGCCCCAAGCGGTACTCAAACAGCATGGCAAGCACCAGAGCCAGCCCGACAGATCCGATGCCTTGCAAACATGTGCCGATACGCTGACCTGTTGCCTGAAAACGGTTTACCTCATTTTAAGTTTATTATCTCTGTTTAAAAATGATTAATGCTTACTAAAGTTTTTGTGTACATTTAAAGGACTACAAAAAGGCCTAAATAATTCATTCTTCTCTTTTCACTCCACGTGCTTAGAGTCCGTGGCAGTAATTGAAGGACATTTTGTCCGTTCCAATTTTTCCTCTTCTTTTCTCGCCATCACGGAATGAGAATAAATATTCTGTAACTACTTATATTATCTGGTTCCGAATACTCACACCCTGTACATAAGAGGCCTCAGCAGAGAGTTTAGCACATAATGCGCCGGTTGAGTTCCGTCGCTCGTCAAAAAAACTAATATGCTGCTGAAGCAAATGTTCGAACATCTGTGTCCGTAGCCTTTCTGTGAGATGTGCGCCGGCGACACCGAATGATACCGCCTGCAGTGTAATGAAAAATTTTGATACACTCTCTGAGCGAATTTGAATCTAAGTGGCACTCAGGTCTATTATATAACTAGCGGTTGCCCGCGGCTCCGTCCGCTTGGATGTCGATTTCTCTACGTACAAACTCTTCTGGACTTCCACGAGTAATTCAAGACCAAAATTAGCCAAATAAGTAAAGGCGAGCTTGTTGAGTTAAAACATTACAATGAAAAGTGGTATTGATTTTTATATAAGTATATAGACAAAAACTTTTTCCATAGTTGATGAAAATAAATATACGTATATACATATAGATGTTCGTAGTTTCCTGTTGTTGAAAAAAAATACGTTGTCTCACGGTAATATTTTCTATTTAATAGTATACTATGTCGTGGGTGCGTTTACCAACATACAATTTCACATACACACCACAACGAGACTCGGAACAACAATTTGTTGATCACACAAAGAGTTGGACCGTGCGGGAATCAAACCTGCGACAGTTTGCGTGGTAGCTAGTTGCCCAGCCACTGCGCCAACCGTGCAGTCAATATGTAAGTAAGTATCTATTCAGTTAAACCGATTTAGAACTACACACATGAATAAATGATTTAAATAACTTTATATAGAAATGACATATTATACAGTAGAATAAAACGACTTAGAAAAAAACTCACTTCGATCAAATTTGAGGTTCCCATAATTATTCCAATAAATATGCACATTAAAGAAACTTTCTTCACTTTGTCCATTAATTTATTTGGATCTGATTCTGACATAGACTGGAAGAGATCGATAATTGTAAAGTAGACTATTTAATGTTACTACTGTCTTCCACAATAATACTTCCATTCCTACTTTTTTAAGTGTGGGAGAGCCATGCTTCGGCACGAATGGGTCGGCTCGACCGGAGTGATACCACGGCCTCACAGAAAACCGGCGTGAAATAACCACAGCGTTGTGTTTCGCCGTGTGAGTGAGGTTACCGGAGGCCCAATCCTTCTCCTCCCCCAATCCCTCCTAAATCCCTAAATCTCCAAATCCCTAATCCCTTAAAGGTCGGCAACGCACTCGTAACTCCTCCGTTGCGAGTGTCCATGGGCGGCGCTGATTGCTTACCATCAGGTAATCCGTCTGCTCGTTTGCCGACCTATTAAATAAATACTGACTGGTATTATAAATTATAACAAAACATACAAACAGGAAGAGCTATCATCATTTTTAACCCCCGACGCAAAAAGTGGGGTGTTAGGTATAAGTTTGACGTGTCTGTCTGTCTGTCTGTCTGTCTGTGGCATCATAGCTCGTGAACGAATGAACTGATTTCAATTTAGTTTTTTTTTTGTATTACAGGTATTTTACGGACTAGTGTTCTTATAGACATGTTTGATGAAAATCGATTGAGCCTTTTAAAAGTTATGGGGAGTTAAAGTGGGGAAGAAAACCGAATGTCTGCAAATATGCTCAAGTGGGGTATCAAATGAAAGGTTATGACTTGTACGTTACAAAAAACAAAAACTTTAATAAGTTTGACGTGTCTGTCTGTGTGTCTGTGGCATCATAGCTCCTGAACGGATGAAAAGATTTCAATTAAGTTTTGTTGTATTATATACTTTTAAAGATAGATTATGCTTTTAGTGTCGGGGTTTTTTTTTAATTTTTAATCACATCGACATCCATTGCTGAACAAAACCCTCACAGTGAAGCTGTCTTTAGTGTTTAAATCTCCTCATATACTACTCCTCACACTTGACAGGACGCTGGTGGGTGATCATAAAAAAATGCCCGAAATTGTTTTCGGCTGCTAATCATACAAAGGCTTTGGCTCTGCCAGAGAACTTTAAAAAGATATCTTATAGAAATCAAACAGGTACATACCCCAAATAAATCACCAAACACCAGAATAAAAAGTGGCATCGAGAAACCAATGACTACGGAGCAAAGGGTACCAGCCAACAACCATTTCCATTCCTTTGACTTCATTGCCAATAAGCGCCAGAAAGTTATATGGGGCACTTTCTCTGAATCCTCTTCCTCCAGTGGCTTAAATATTTGTAAATATTAAGGTCAGACCACAGTGCCCTTTGCAATGGTATCGGTAGCTTAAGCACATGCAAGAGAAGCCCATAGCACAAAAAACAATCTAAGCTACTTATAACAACTTCTGAACTATGTTTTTATAAAATAAACTCACTTGAACCATCATATCTTCTTTGCTAGTCTCTGATATCCCAGACTCTTCTCTGAGTATGGTATGTTCTATGTTAAGAAAACTATATAAATATTTCTAGAATAAATGAAATATACTATAAATCTAACAAGGTTTCGTTCCAGTTTAGCTGAATAATAGAAATATTCATTTATTATCGAAAATATAAGTTTAGGAGTGATACCACGACCTCACAGAAACCGTTGTTGCGGGTGTCCATGGGAGGCGCTGATTGCTTACCATCAGGTTAACCGTCTGCTAGTTTGCCGTCCTATCACATAAAAAAAGGAAAAAATATAAAATCATAAACAATGAATTTTTAATCAAAACAAACAACCAAAGCTGGACATTAAGAGAAACCCCCTTTAAAAAAATAAAAACGTCCTGAAAATGAAACTTGCCTTCTCTTCCGTCTCTGGCAGTAAGATTCTCTGGTTCTTGGAGTGACACCATTTCATAATAATGACCTTTGTTCGCCATAAGCTCATCGTGGTTTCCACTCTCCACAATTTCTCCTCCTTGGAACACGTATATAAGGCTCACGTGCCGGATTGTGGAAAGTCTGTGAGCAACCACCACCGTTGCGCGACCTTCCGCAGCCTGTCAGTTGGACACCTATTTTAATAATGTTTAACCCATAATGTGAGCGCAGATCTACGCGAGACACAATGTGTTTTCTATTGTGTCTCATATACCGGCAGAGGACAGGTTAAAGGAAAATTTAATTGTAAAGTGTGTGAGAGAGCCATGCTTCGGTACGAATGGGCCGGCTCGACCGGACTGATACCACAGCCTTTCCGGCGAAAACCGGCCTGAAGCAACACTTACGTTGTGTTTGGCCGACTGAATGAGGTTTCTGAAGGCCCAATCTAATCCCCCCCTCATCCTCAATCCTCAAATCCCCTATCCTAAGTCCCTAATAACCCACAACGGCCTGGCAACGCACTTGTAGTAACTCCTTTGGTACAAGTGTTCGTGGGCGGCGCTGATTGCTTACCATTAGGTAATCCGTCAGCTGGTTTGCCGGCCTAAGATATATAAAAAACAGACAGACTACATATGGAGTCTATAGGGCCAAACATTTCCTAATTTTTCTACCAGCGTATTGTGATGATAATGGACATCATTGAAGAAACATTAATTTTAGTCCAACGCTTTATGTATTTACAAGGTTCTCTTGGAGGCACATGGACAGAAATGTTATTGAGGAAACCTTATCGAGTGCAAGCTGCACTTTTGCTTCGGAGGCAGTGTCGAGCGCACTAGTGGCCTCGTCCAACAGCAGGAGTCGGGGTTCACGGACCAGGGCGCGAGCTATTGCGATGCGTTGCTTCTGCCCACCGGATAATGACGCACCACGCTCACCTACCAGCGTGTCGTAGCCCTGATATATTTAATTTATTCTTATACATAGAATTGAATTGAATTGAATTGAATTAATTTATTCTTATACATGTAATATCTTCAATTCTTTGCAATCAAGTATTAAAATGTTAACCGAAATCAGAAATCTTAATTCTTTGGCAGTTTTTTATTTTGTAAAGCAATAGTGTGAATCTTATTAATATTATAAATGCGGAAGTCATCACGCCAAACGGCTGGAAGGATATGGATGAAATTTAGCACTAGCATAGGATATACACCGGAATTGGACATAGGCTACTCGTGGGCGAAGCCGTGAGCGGTAGTTAGTAGCATATTTCATTATGCCATTGACAAGTGTGAAAACTACAAATTGTGTTGACAGAGAATCAAAGTCAAAAAAGTGAGTAGCCTGCAGCTAATAGCTTCATCAAATGAATACAAGTTCACAAGAACAATCAACTTACCTTGGGTAGTTTTATAATAAAGTAGTGAGCGTTTGCCTTCTCTGCAGCGGCTTCAATCTCTTCATCCGTAGCGTCATCGCGTCCGTAGCGGATATTTTCACGCACTGTGTTGTTGAACAACACCGGCTCTTGTCTCACCAGCCCTATCTGAGACCGCAGCCACCGAACTGATAGCTCGCGAACATCTATATTATCCACACACACCTATTTCGTAAAAATATGTATCATTATTGACTACTAATAAACAACAGACAAGACAACTGTTTTTAAATAAAATTGAAACACCAATTTTCGCATAATATAATCATAACATCAGTAGGTACAGTAAAATTTAGATAAAAAAATCTTTTAAGTTCGGCCGTAATCAACGATTAATATTTCTAAGATGTCCAGATCATACCAGGACAAACATTATTAGGCATCTCAATGTTACTAGCCCTTTAGTAAACTACTGAACAATGTCTGAATAAATACTTACACTACCGCTAACCACATCGTAGTATCGAGATATAAGCTGAATGACCGTAGACTTCCCTGATCCTGAATGTCCGACTAGAGCAACCGACTGCCCGCGTTTCACACTCAAGCTGACACCTTTCAACACCTACAATAACCAAATAAAAACGCCATCATTTCAACTTTGTATGAAGATAGAGTTTGATATATAATTTCTACTAACCGGCACATCCGGTCTGGACGGATACTGAAACACCACATTCTTTAACTCGATAGTCCCTTCAGCTGTATGCGGTACGAATCCTTTGTCTAACAAAGGATTAATTGTAGGAACATTTTGCAAAAGATTGAATATCTGAGCCCCTGCACCACGTGCGAGACCAAATGACCGCACTAGAGATCCAACGATTCCAAAATTTCCAAGAGCTGTCATAACGCCAAAAAATACCTGAAAGGAATGAGGCCCAACTCCCTATACTGTTTATTATGCAACCTACCTAAGTACTAGCAGTTCTACCATAGAATAACATTAATGCTTACCGAAAACATGACATCAGCGTTATAGTTTTCAGGGTCATTTATTACAAGGTAAATTCCAAAATAAAATGACAAAGCATAGGAGCAGAAAACACAGAAAAATAGAAATGCCATTGAAAGTCCTGTGAAAAACTCTGCAAGAAAAAAAAATGGTTTCACTACAGTAGTTTTCAACTAGTCATTATTTTTGACCTAAGAAACTACCCAATTCATATAAACACTTGTCTTTTCGCAAAGTTGTTACCTACCCTTTTTTATATAAATCTTCTTAGCAGCAGCCAGAGGTTTCTTATATCTTTCTAACTCTTTCTTCTGGCCATTGAAAGAGTACACTGTCCGAATGGAGCTCAGTACCTCCTGCGCTATGGAACTAGCTCGACCAGTCTCTAATGCTTCTTTTTTATACAGTCGATCTGCAATCTGACTGAGAATCAGTTATGATGCTTGTTCCATATAATCATATGGAACATGGTGACCAAACTTAACCCGAAAATCAAATCCAGACTGATGACTTAATAGCAAAAACAACTGACCTACTTTCCCAATAATATTACTATACTAAATATTAGAGCAAAATGTGCTAGTTCACTTATAATTAAGTGCATTGACGTAATGTAGCTATCTACATATATGCAGGATTGCCGACGGCGAGTAAGGGTAGCTCGCCGCCCGACCAGAATCACACCCGAGCGTACAACGCGTTGCGGTCTGCGCGCGCCTCAAAGAGCCAATAGACCACCACAGACGGAGCTCTATAAAGCCGATGTTCAGCCAGAGTTGTGGGGCAAGCGCCAAGGCACCGCGGCCTAGAGCAGGAGAAAGAATGGGGGGGTTTTAGTCAGTAAGTCTGACACTCCCTCCCGCACCACCCTGGGCAAGAGAGGTCTTTTGATGATCTTGCCCTCACAAAAATAAGTGAATCTATACATACTCGCCCTGTTAGTCCTACAAGTATAAAGGTCACAGGCGTAGTTGTCAAACAGAGCAATGCAAGCTTCCATCCCTTCAGCATGGCCATGAGGATGCAACCAATGGCTGTAGTCAAACTGTACACGAAGGACGACACCTTGTCACCGATACCCTCTTCTAATTTTATTATATCGCTAGAAAATAAATAAAACGAGCCTGTCTAGTAATAATAAATCGATAAAATAAAAGAGATAATCGTGTTTCTTACTCCGCCATTTTCGATGCAAAGTCTCCAGTTTGATTCTTATCAAAGTAAGCAAAGTCTTGATTTAGAGCTGCTGTTAAATATTCTTCTCTGATTTTAAATACCTGTAGAAAAAACGAATGTTAAGACATTTATGTTGCGGGGTAAGCGCAATGAAACACCACGGCCTCGGCCTAAAGCAAGAAAAGGAACGGGGGGGGTTTTTACTTTAGTCATTAAGAATCTCAGACACGCTCTCTCGCCTTACCTTGGGTGGGAGAAGTCATTTGATGGTGTTCACGATTAAGTATAAAACGTCTTTTAAAAAGATATTAATAAGCAGCATATAGAAAAGCACACATACATGTATTAACTTCTCATTTGTAATTACCTGATTTATCGCCGTAACATTCATTAGTGCAGACCCCAAATATACACAGATGAAGAGGAGGACACCAACACATGAGTATGTTACACCAAATTTGTGCATACGAGAGAGAAATGCTTCGTCATCTTGTGTGCCTGCTTGTACTGCCTTGTCATACGTTATCATGTTTTGAAACACATTCGCCACTAGCGTTATAGCGTATGGTAACGTGACTCCAGCAACTAACGAGGCTAGTATTGAAATGGATATCAAAAATTTATCCAACTTTGTCGAATATCTGTACTGAAAAAACCATAAAATGTGATATTGCCTACTAAGTACAATCAAAACTTAAATATTTTACTATTTGTACGAATTACTGAAATCACAATGTAAATTTAACAGGGATATTTAGTCCTACTTCTAGTAGTATGGTGTCTAATAGTATGTCTAAATATTGTATGGAAATAAAGTATAATAGAAAAGTGAGTGTACCAATGTAAAATAAGATATAGATGGTGCAACCGATTTTGATTTCACTTCTTTTTCATCCCTGTAAATTATAAAATGTTATTAAACTGAACAAGATCTACCTATACAAAAAGGTATTTTACAAAAATACATTATAACGAAATAGGTAGCTTATATAATAAGTATCACCATCAGTGTTTCTGTCTACTGCACGTAGGCCTCTTCAATTGCATACCACTAAGCTCGATGTTCATTCTTCTCATCGGGTATCATCAGTCTATCTAACTGGCAGGGGAACACTGCGTTTGCCTAGACAGTCTCTACTCCGGAACACGTCTATCTCAACGGCCATGGTCTTCGACTGCGAAATGCGACCTGCTTCAGTTTGCTAGTCCTTTGGGCTAGTCGACATCATTAGTTCTCAACAGAATCATCTTATTCCCTGTCTTTTCCAATGCAGCGTCTTAAAAATAGCCTCCTAAGTATTAATGAACATTTTGAGGAAAAAATATCCCCTTGTCTTACTTCCGATGCAGGTGGATAGGTTAAGACATCTGGTCCTGTACTTGAACGACCATAGTTGCAGCATCATACATGCCTCTCAAAACCTGTACATATCGCACCTTACATGGATTCCAGAAAAACCCTGGTTTCGAGAGTCAATAACATTTTCATCGACCATAAACGAACAGATTATACTCCTCAGTTTCCTGTACGCCTATCATTGTAGACACATAATATGTGGTCCATGTACCCCTCGGAACTCTCCCATCTCTTCTCATCGAGTCTTCACGCGAGACAATTCGTAATGTGATGACTCTGCAAAACAGTTTCTAAACGTGGCTCAGAAGAGAAATATGTCAAAAGTCCCAAAAAATAGAACGAAACCATGCATGCTCGCTTAAGCACTGACTGCTGATTGCTGATTTATCATGTAATATCTGTCTGTCATTTTCATTTTCATTATCATCTTGACTGATTTCCGGCATCTCTTCGGTAAAGTGGTGAAATCGTAGAAGCACTGGATATCCGCGAGAATCTCAGACTTAGATGTGACGATTTTTCCATTTGATGTGGTCAAAATTTATCGGATGGTTTTGCCGTAGTCGCTGTATAAAGACTTTTGACCCCTGATTTCGTTCAAACACTTATCGGGTACTTACGCAACGGAGGTTTTTTTATGAAATAAGAGGCAAACGAGCAGACGGGTCATCTGATGGTAAGCGATCGGCGCCGCCCATGGACACCCGCAGCACTAGAGGAGTGACAGGTGTGTTGCCGACCTTTTAAGAAGGAGAACACTCGTTTCTTGAAGGTTTAAAGGGCGGGAATACCGCCACCGGAAGATTATTTTAAAATTTTGACGTGCGGGGCAGAAAGTTTCTCGTGAATCACACAGTTGTTGACAGCCAACCAATGCTGCTAATCTATGTGATAGGGATGAAAAGGCTTTAGCGTAGAACGATGGCCAAAAAAATGCGGCGTGGATCAAACCGTACAATTCCTTAGAACACCCCCCGATAAATGCGAGGCTTACGCAGTGCTAAAGGGTCCAACCGGTCAGAGACAAAAGGGAGGTCGCGTCTTACCAGCTTTGAGATCTTGTTGTTAGTAGGATCTGATGCTTACTGTTGATTTTTTACATCACCTCTCCATTATCTGCACACACTCTCCCGAAAGCTTGGCCCCTCTGCCGATACTTTACATCCGCCACAATTTCGTCCCTTCGGCTCGAAATATTCCGATTATTTGGTCAAGTTGCTAGTTATACCTCTAGCAGTGCCAGATGTTCATCAAGCCGTAGGGTGTGTTCCATGCACGTAGCCAGAGTCAGTTGGTGTTGACGGCCTTTAATAGCCCAGGGATTCTCAACACCGCCTTACCCGCTGTCGCCAGGCCAGGAATAGCGAGGTGACTGGGAATTTTAACCGTTTATTTGGCGTGCAATATTAGGTAATGCCCATAAACACCACATAGGACAGGTGGGTTGGTGATCATAGGTCGTGGCTCTTCACACTAGGAACGCTGCTGCCCGACGCTAGTCAGCGTGATTTAATAGTCGCCATTAGTCTGAGCCTCGTTCGCTAATCGGCAGGATGCAATGTGAGCAGGTCAGATTGACTGTAGGTACTTTGTCGGTGTTTTGCCAATTGCATCCCTATAATAAATATACTACTAGACTACTATATATATATAAGTATAATCTTATTATTAAAACATACGTTATATCTTTGTTATTCTTTGTGTTTTTGCTAAGCCGATGTCCCATTTCAGATCGATTTTTCAACTAAATGTAATCTAATCTAATGTAACAAAAATACATAAACACTTTGAATCATTCCACTTTCATATTTCTTTATCAAACTGAAGATAATAAAAATTAAAGTTAAATTTATTCCAATTTGAGGTGCGTTTTTAGGACTTCAGTTGCACAGAAGCCAAAGAGATGACGCTGTCATGTCAAGCACCCAAAATGTCAAGTGTAAAATATCTATACTAATTATCTTAAAGAGGTAAAACTTACAGGTTAGTATGTATGCCTATGAAACAACAATGAAACAATGAATTAATTTTTGCAAATAGGCCATAAAACGGCACTTTTATACGTCAATTTATATGTGAAAAACTAGATGAACTATGATCCCTGCAACCGCTCTGGTCAGATTTCTAAAATTCTTTCAGTGATTAATAGACTTGATTTGCGAAATTTAGCCCAGACGGCCTGTGTTAAAGCGTCAATCTTCCGGGCGTGAAAGAGGGATGGAGCTATAGCTATGGCCTTAATCGCAGTATGTACAGCTAGCTGTCTTTAAATTACTTTTACGCTAATTGTTAATGTTAAGAGGAATTTTGATCTCAATTTGTAAATTATTCAACATGTTGTTAATGAACTTGGTTTTGTAAATGTGAGGGCCCTGTAACTTATTATAATTGAGTTAGACTTCTAAAATATTGGTACTTGTGTCAGTTGGAAGTTGTCATGCTCACTTAGGGGTCTCATTGGGGGTGGCGCGGGCACTGGATCCCTCGATTCTCTATAATATGGTTGTTGAGTTGGGCGCTATGACACGTCCTACACCAGCGTGTATTTATCAACTCGATACTGTCTAAAGTTGCTGTCCTTGAGGTTCATTTCTTTTTCGGATCCTTTGTCTAAACATTAGTGTTACACTGTTCTCACATAATAGAACGGACTAAATTATATAGGTAACAAAGAAATGCATTGTGAAACTGATTGAAAAAGAGTAACCATAGAGTTTCTTGTTAATTCTTCTCCATAGGAATCTACACTCTGGAACGAGCAAATAGCTTTAAGTACTACTAGAGGACAGACGGACAGATTGACACGTATAAAGTTAAAGCTTTTGATATTTATTTATTTTTTGGTTGAAGTTCAAAAGTGGCTTTTGTAATCTACTTGAAATAAAGAATTTGACGCATACGAAACCGCGAACGGAAGCTAGTAGACTACCTACTAAGTAACATCGATCACTAATAAATAGTGATCGATGCCTACTAATAAACAAAGAGTAAGTGTAAATAGGAACAGACAATTTTACTTAGGTACTTGAGAATGATGAAATTTTGCAATAAACGTACTGTAGGATTGTAGCTGACTCGATGATAAGAATATAAAATACTTAAAATATCGCACTCCACCACTGAAATGTCAAGCAACAGCCCATGTGTCTTGGGTAGGTCTACTTACCAAAACATCAGTAGATACTTACACAGTTACGTGAGTTTATAGTAAAGTAGGTATTCTTATCAAGGTCAGAACCACGGTACCTAGATACTTTCCGAATCGATACGTCCTTCAACCCATAAATAAATAGACGAGCGTAAGTACTCCTTCTTAAAAATCCAGCAACGCCCCTGTGACTCCTCTAGTGCCGCACAGCACAGATATCCATGGACGCCGCCGATCACTTACTATCTATTCCATAAAAAAAACTTAGTATTGTCTTGTCAGAACCGTTGCAACATATTAGTAGGAAGATGACACAACACGCAACCCACATAGCGAATGCAGTTACCTACCAATCATATCACAGTTATTTATACATTTTGCTTTTGATATTGGTTACCATTCCAGTTCAACCAATGACGATATAACCACTTGACGGCGCATACAGTGCCCCGACGCTCGAAAACGACGATATAACCATGAGCGATTATTCTCTTTGAGTTCAACCATTATCCTGTACTTTTACATGAACATTAATTTTAAAAAGATTTTAACTCCCGCCATTGGTGATCATCACCTAGAGATAACTTAAGATACTTATTGTCTATGGTGTAAATAGCAAGTAAAAAGTAACGTAAATATAAATAAAAATAATACAAATACATAAAAAGATGATTGTCGTTAGACTTTATTATTTTTATGGATAGTTTCTGTGACTCAATTCAATTAGGTACCAACTATATAATTTAATACTATTAATGATCTCGACTAAATTTAACTTGTTAGGAAGGCTCCATCTATTGTTAAAATTAGGCAGTTTAGTTTCTTGTGTGAAAGATAACCTGATAAAAACTTTATTCAAATTACAAAATAAAGGAAAAACGATTCTATTAAATAGAAATAAGATTCAAAATAAACATTTACTATTTTATTTTATAAGTGATAACGCCTTGGCAGATATAACTACACTGATATAGGTAAATGATAGACAAAACAAGTTTTTTGACACAATATTAATTAAAATTATTGAGAAATTGTTTATATCAGAATACCCATGTTATTTCATTAGCAGCTACATCTTCAACTAATTTCTTATAAATATACCTAGTTAGAAGTGATAATGGTGCTATCAAGAAAATACGTTGTACAAACTCCTTTCGTAGGAGAACCCAAAAAGAGTGATTTCAAAATAGTTGAAGAGGTTCTTCCTGAAATTGAGGAAAATGGTAAGTGTTCTTAGTACCCAATGTCTGGTAAACTGCAACAACACTGGCTGAATAACTAGGTAGACTAGAATATCCTTAATTCTTCCAGAATTTCTTGCTGAAGCAGCATTCATCAGCGTTGATCCTTATCAGCGAATGAAACTTGGTGCAACTTATCCATGTGACATGATTGGAGGTCAGGTAGCTAAGTGAGTCAGATTAGCTTTTTATTATACATTTTCATGTCTTGTGATACCATAAACTACAATGGCATACAAATATTTATTTTTTTAATTTCCAGAGTGATAGAAAGCAAACATGCCGAGTATCCAGTAGGGTCATGGGTAATGGGGCACTTCGGATGGAGAACCCATACGATTACAAAGCCCGAAAATGAGAAGTTCTGTGGGCAAAAACCGTATCTTTACAAATTACCTGACTTTGGAGATCTGCCAGTGTCGTTAGCACTTGGTGTTTGTGGAAGAGTAGGGTAAGTTATAATCGCACCATTGGTAATAAAATAAATTATTGTATGCAATATGTACCTAGGTAAGTCTATCAATTACAGAAATACTGCCTACTTTGGTTTTAAAGAGATCTGTCAGCCTAAAGCTGGGGAAACAGTGGTGGTTTCCGGTGCAGCGGGAGCAGTCGGCTCCCACGTCGGACAAATTGCTAAGATTCTAGGTAAACATTCTATTTCATACTTACGTCACTTAACTCTGGTTATAGTCTCGCAGGAACTAGGTGAAAACTTACTCTCCATTGCAAAAAAACTGCGAATTGGTTTCTACTTTGGGAAAAAAAAATAAACTACTTTTGGAAAAATATTTACAGGATGTAGAGTTGTTGGTTTTGCTGGCAGTGACGAAAAGTGTGAATGGCTAATCAAAGAACTAGGATTCGACTGCGCCGCCAACTATAAGACTACGAATCTAGCAGCATTTCTTAAAGAGGCTGCTCCAAAAGGTGTAGACTGTTACTTCGACAATGTTGGCGGGGAAATTAGTAGCATTGTCATGTCACAAATGAATAACTACGGCAGGGTTGCAGTCTGTGGAGCTATTTCAGGTTATAATGAAACCGATCCCGAAAAACGAAAAGGTATGAGCTTAACAGTCTTCAATAGTTAATAAGGTGTTTTGAGTATTAGATTAGGTATAATTTATTTTATATCCTTTTTCAGCAACCATGCTTCAGGGATATATTGTTGGAAAACAACTTAAAATAGAAGGTTTTCAAGTTAATAGATTTGCTGACCGCACAATTGAAGGTATAAATCAAAACTTAAAGTGGGTACGAGAGGGAAAACTAAAATACAAGGAACATATCACTGAGGGTTTTGAAGCTGCTGACAACGCTTTCATTGGCTTGTTCAGAGGAGATAACATTGGTAAAAGTTTGGTAAAAGTGAAATGATGTGAAAATCAAATAACTAATAAAAATGTAATTAAAGTTTTACAACATCATATTATTCTAGCTAATTTTATTTATAAAAATATCATTAATCACCTACGTTTCCGTCGTTTCGGAGAGGAACATTTAGGCATATCCTTAGTATACTTATTAATGAAAAGTTCTTCATATAATAAACTATTAGCTTCTTGGCTTAAATATTTAGATAGCTCCTGATACAAATATCTCTTATGTACATCTTCATTGACTTGTGTTTGTGTGTGCACTGATTTTTTAGAACTAGATGGAGCATATGCTCGTTTCAACTCCATTATTTTCTGTGAGTTCTCCTCTATTTTGTTAAGTAGGTTATTTTCCATTTTCTTCATTCTGGCCTCTAGGAAAGCCAAGGTATATTCTTGGACATTGGGTAGTTGTGGTTCTTCAGAAAGATGAGACGCAACTTGTCGCTTTTTACTCTGCAGTAATCTAGTTTCCTGTAAAGTAGGTCTTTTTTCATAATCGGTCTTTTGCGGTTCTTCTAACTTGTCTAAACAGTCTTCGACTATATCTCGTAGTTTCATATTGAATTTACGTTTTTCGGCTATAGCAGCTACTCTCTCTGGGGGTATTTTGTTCTTTAACAATGAAGTTTTGGGAGTTATGATGCTGGCATTCTTGGTTTTTGGCAAAATTGTTTTCTCTTGATTGGTGGCTGCTATACCTTCATTTAAACAAATAGTTGGAGAATCATTGTTCGATTTCTCGAGAATATTATCTTTTGATGCATTTGCTTCTAAAACTGGGTTTCTTTCTCTTCTTTTCGGTAACTCTTCTGCTACTGTTGGTTCCACTGAATCTGCACCAGCCTTAGTATTAATAAATCTTTTTTTATTCGGAAAAGTTAATATTCTGGTAGGTGAAACAGGTTCCAGTTTTCCAATTATAGGTTTAGGGTTTACTATCTTTTTCTCGGATATAATTTTTATCTTTTTAGTTTCTTTTAATAAACTATTGTTGGTATTGGGTTTTTCATTTGGATTATTTAAAACTGTAGCTGTAACTGGTTGATTGTTATTTTTATTTAATTCATGATTAATTTTAGGTTTTTGTGGCTGATTTTCTTTACAACTTGGTTCTCTAAGTTTTTCTTCACTCAATTGTAATTGATTTAAATGGTTTATGGTAAACTTGGTTTCATCTGGTTTTACATCTGAACCAACTGCTGTACAGAATTCGACTGGCACTTCTGACACATTAATTGTAAAGTTTATAGCATCTCCTTCTAGGTCTGATGGCTGTATTTTACTTTGTCTACTTAATTCTATTGTACTAGGTTGCATTGTACTATTGTCTTGAAACAAATCATGGTTAATTATATTCTCCTTAACGCTAGCATTATTTAAGATGCTTTTTCCAGTAGTTTTCAGTTCTTTGCCTCGGGTGCTTTTGCGTATCTGAGGCCGTACACATTTAACAGGTTTCTTAGGTAGAATCAAGTCTTTTGGTATAACTGGTACTAGTTTAGTGTTATCATTTAAATCAATCTGACTGTTATCATTTGTCTGATTGGTTGTATTTAGTGAATTTAAGTCCATTAATTCACAGTTAGTTAAGAAATCACCATATTTCACTGAGAAATTAGCTTTTTTGTCAACAATAGTTAGATATTCATTTTCAATATCATCAAGAGAAATGCTGAACACCTGCCTGTCGTCTTGTTCATTCTTAGCGTTGTCTGCCTCACTGGCATCACAGTAAGGTCCATCTTCTGTAGGTACTGCATCAAAAGTGAGTTTATCTTTCTGGAAAACCCATAAAGCCCAATTAATATCAAAAAAGGTAATCTTTACTTATATTATAAAGAGGTAAAATTAAGTTTGTATGTTTGTAAGTTAGTATGTAGGGGGTTATCTTTGGAACCAGTGGTCGGATTTCCAAAATTCTTTCACCAATAGATAGCTACAATGTTCCTGACTGCTATAGGCTATGAAACATCACGCTATGATCAAATGGAGTCGAGAGAGGATAAATCTAACATCATACACACTCATTTGAACCCTTAGGGAAATAACAGAAATTACATTTTGTTTTAATTTTAATATTGACAACAATTTATCAGCATATGAAGTGTAACCATAAAAATTGTTTAATATATTAATGTATGAAGAAAGACTATAAAAAAACAAACCTTGAAATTCATAAAGTTTTCATCTTTGAAATGATGTTGGCATACAACTCTGTTCCTCAACTGTGACACTTTCAAATTGAGAAATTCCAATTTCCGTGCATTCGTTATCCATTGATGACAGCGTACTTTGTCAAATACTGGGTAATGAAACATGTGAGTTTTTCCATCAGTCCGTGAAGAACATGTACGGTAGGTACAGCGACAACCCCCCATTGTGCTGAAACGAAAAGAACCATGTAGGTTATAGAAGAGATCCTAAATAAAATCAACAACATTTATAGCCAAAACAGTACAAAAAGGTACTATTTTCTCTAATAAAAGACAATACAACTTTATTAGTAGATTTGTTCGTTTACATTACAAACTGAACATGTACCTGTTAAGTACAGTGTTATCACTTGTTCTTACTTTAACTATTTACAAACGCCAGTATATCCAAAAATGTTGGAATAAACAGTTAATTACATTCAGTTTACAACACTACTTTTTGACTTTACCTTTGATTTCTTAACCAATTATCATTTAATTTCGGGTCATAACATAATACGTATTAGTATGAAAATCTAATTTATTAATTAATCCGAACAATACAACTAATGAAATAAAAATAATACATTAATAATAATAAACACACAACTTCCAAAATTGACTTCTTGCGTCAGCGTCACTCATACACTAATCTGTCATCGTCATAAAACATAGACAATCTTTTTTGAGTACTTTTTTTTTGTAAGTAATATAGTTTACTTCTTGCATTTTAAGGCCAAGTTCTTACAATTTCACAGAAAGTTTACCTTTAAGGTATAAAGATTGCTATCCTGTATAATCGTAACCATATAAGGTTTCTGTTTGCAATCATATGCTTATATTGTTTGGTAGGGAGTATGTAGCGGCACTATCACGTCGCTACATTACTTAGATACGATAGAGATAAGACACACATGTTAATTGTTGCACGTTTGTTAGGATAGCTAAATCTGAAAATCTCACGCATCTTCTTAGTATATAAGCACCAGCAATTAAAGTAATAAACAGACCTTAACCATCTACAGTCTCATTATTTACCTTGCCACGAAGTCTGGCAAATTGGTGACCCGACGAAGAACAATCAACATGACTCATTCACCCTGCAAATCAAGCAGCAGCCAACAAGAAGCCTTGGAGATATCAGCCGGAACCGGAATTTTGGAGGGACCAACCCAGATTATGGTTTAAGCAACTAGAAGCCATAGTAGCACCACAGAAGCAAGGAGACGATTACAAGTACTATACGGTCATTGCAAAACTGCCAAAAGAAGAAATAATACAGGTTAGTGACCTCATTACTTGCCCACCGCCAATAGAAAAGTACAAGGCTATCAAAGAACGCCTAATCAGTTGCTATGAGGAATCAGACCAACGTCAGCTCCAAAAATTATTGTCTGAAATGGATCTCGGCGACCAGAAACCATCACATCTTCTGCGCAAGATGCGGACCCTGAGTAACGGAAATATCAGCGACGAAACCATCAAACTTCTATGGTTGAGGCTTCTGCCACCATCAGTGACTTCGGTTCTAGCAGTCACAGAAGACATAGATGTGAACAAGATGAGCCAGATCGCGGACAAGATATTAATAAATTCAACACGTACAGAGGTGTCAGCTGTAAACGGAAACAAATCTGGCGACGATACAATGTCATGCATACTAGCACAGTTAGCAGAAATGCAATTGGAACTAAATGCAATTCAGCAAGGTCAAAAAAAAACTATCGACGCAGCACTCAAAGTTATTCCAATCGTCGGCATTTCCTACCACAGTCAAGTTCAAGAGAAAGAAGGCACTTTTGTTTTTACCATGGAAGATTTAAAAAATATGCACAAAAGTGTGTTCAACCTTGTAATTGGAAACAGGATCTCAACTCAAGGAAACAGGGAAACTAATTGAAGCACGGACAACGGCGGAACTCTGTGCTATTCACCCGTCCAACCGCCTCACTATTACCGACCGAAAAAGTGGTATGAGATTTTTGATTGACACGGGAGCAAATATTTCAGTTATTAGCAAGCCACAGAGACATTCACTAATACAAGATGAACAATGTATACTTTATGCCGCCAATGGTACAAAAATTAAGACATATGGTGAAAAAACACTCTCTTTAAACTTCGGGCTACGAAGAAACTTTGTATGGAACTTTGTCATCGCCGATGTAACACAACCGATTATTGGAGCAGATTTTTTTTAGAGCATTATAAGCTATTAGTCGATATAGCTGGTCGAAAACTCATAGATAGGGTAACTGAGCTGACAACGCCCGCAACCCTGATCAAATCGACGCAGCAAACAATCCGCACTATTAACATTGAGACGAATCCACGCATTACTCAACTATTAAATGAATACGAGGATATTACGAAACCAGCCTCCCTCCACACTACTCCAAAACACAAGATTAAGCATCATATTATCACTAAAGGACCAAGGAAAATATAAGGAACGCAGTATTAACAGTTCACCCCTCTCGCACCGCCCCTTTGGCACTTATGACGGACGCCAGTTCGACCTGTGTTGGCGCAGTTCTGCAGCAGAAGTCAGGACGTAATTGGGAACCATTAGGATTCTTTTCAAAGAAATTAAGTGATACTCAACAAAAATACTCGACATTCGACAGAGAGTTGCTCGGAATATATATGGCAGTCAAACATTTTCAAAGGTTAGTCGAAGGAAGAGAATTTACTATCTTTACAGATCATCGACCTTTGACTTACGCATTTTCCCAAAAACCGTCATCTAATGATACGCCACGGCGAATACGACAACTGGATTTTATTTCACAATATTGTACCAACATTCAACATATAGAAGGACGTGACAATATTGTAGCAGACGCATTGTCACGGATAGAACAAATTGATGTGCCATCACCGATTAATTATGCTGATTTAGCAAGATGTCAGCATGATGACCAAGAATTATTACGACTTCGTAATAACAAGAATTTAAAATTTTCAATCAGCAGAAACAATCAGCACAAATGCAGTGGATAGTTCATCGACTGCCGCCGCCGTCACAACAAAGGCAGCAGTTTTTATTTCCTTCGAATTAGCAACAATGACATTACATTACGCATAGGATGTAATTTATCAGCAAGGTTAAGTTATTATATAATTAGGTACATACTAATTTTTTTTCAATTTATATGTTAATAATTTTTAAAAGGGGGGAGTATATGTAGCGGCACTATCACGTCGCTACATTACTTAGATACGATAGAGATAAGACACACATGTTAATTGTTGCACGTTTGTTAGGATAGCTAAATCTGAAAATCTCACGCATCTTCTTAGTATATAAGCACCAGCAATTAAAGTAATAAACAGACCTTAACCATCTACAGTCTCATTATTTACCTTGCCACGAAGTCTGGCAAAGAGTATATATATATTTTAATAAATTACTTCTATCGTACCCTGGGGATTGTAATAGTGAACTTACCAATATATTTTTATATTTTGTGTATCTCATTACTGTTAAGATATTTATTTTTGTATTTTGCTAAGTATACTTATGGCGTCACTTAAAGTCTACTATCAGAATGCGAGGGGGTTGCGAACTAAGACACATATATTCAAACGAAATGTTTTCTTAAACTCCTATGATGTTATCGCGATTACTGAGACATGGTTAATAGATGGTATTAGCGACAGCGAGCTGTTTGGCGGTGGATACTCAACCTGGCGTCGGGATAGGGATTACATAAAGACTAGGCAATCCAAAGGCGGTGGTGTGCTATTGGCTATACGTTATGGATTATCAGCTGATGTTCGCTCTAATTGGATGTCTTCAGCTGAAGATCTCTGGGTTACCATTAAGTATAAGAGTAACGATCGAAATTACAATCAATTAAACCTTTGCGTCGTCTATCTTTGTCATGAACATCTAGGCAATTCATATGATTCGCAGTTGCGCAATTTAACTAACAGACTTTCTTCGATCATTAACGAAAATCCAGATGATAAATTTGTTTTAATGGGCGATTTTAATATGCCGAATGTTGAATGGTTAGGTGATAGCAACTGTCTTCAACCCTGTGGTATAGCAGGTGAATCACAAACGTTTTTTTTTGATATCTTAGCTGAATGTAATTTAAATCAGTATAATCACTGTCGTAACATCTCCAAAGGGCGTCTCTTGGACTTGGTGTTTTCTAACACTGATTTATCTATAAAGGCTTGTGCATTTCCCTTAGTCCCAGAAGATGATCACCATAAATCTCTCGATATTGAGCTGAATTTACATCACGAAGTACCCTTGAAACAAAAACCTATTAGGAAACGATATTTTGAGTCCGGTGATTATGAGAAAATCAATAGTTATTTAAACAGTTATTTGTGGCATGATCACTTACATAATAATGCTTTAGACGATGCGGTTTCTGTTTTTTATAACTGTCTGTATGAAGCAATAGATAAGTATATTCCCTATAAAATTATTTACCCTACATCGTTTCCGCCGTGGTATACTGCGAGCCTAAAAAAGACATTAAAGGAAAAGTATAAATATTTACGAAAATATCGCATCTACGGTAATACATCGGATTTCGATTCTTTCGTGTTACTTCGCGCTAGAGCTAAAGCTGTAGAGGAAGAATGTTACAAGACCTATATATCTAACACCGAGAAGGCAATAATAAAAAATCCTAAAATGTTTTGGTCTTTTATCAAATCCAACAAGAAAGGCCCCAATTCCTTGCCTTCTTCTATGGTTTTCGAAGGTCGATCGTGTGTCACTGGTGAGGAGATCTGCGATGCTTTTGCCATGTACTTTCAGTCAAATTTTCTTGCGACTTCGGGTCTTAGCGCAGATACATCTCTAAGAAATGCATCTCATATCAGTCCTGCTCAAAGTATAAGCGACATCGAAATAAATACCGAAACTGTGCTGAAGCTCCTCAAGTCATTAAATCTTAATAAGGGGGCAGGTCCTGACGACATACCACCAACATTTATAGTTAGGTGTGCTAACAGTTTGGTGGTACCACTTTTGTGCGTTCGGTTAGTGAAGGAATTGTGCCTAACGTATGGAAGCGAGCATTTATAACTCCAGTGCACAAGAGTGGTAGTAAAGGGGACATTACCAATTATCGCCCTATATCAAAATTATGTCTGTTTGGTAAGATATTAGAGCGCCTTATATATGACCAAGTCTATAGCACTTTTTCCTCTGCATTCATTCCCGAACAGCACGGGTTTCTAAAAAACCGATCGACCACATCTAACCTACTGTCATTTGTTGATTTTACTACCTCTTGTATGGAACATGGCGGTCAGATTGACTGCATCTTTACTGATTACAGTAAATGTTTTGATCGCATAGATCACAGGATACTTTTACAAAAGATCTTGCAGGCAGGTATTCATGGTAATTTGTATCGGTGGGTTACCTCATATATTCAAAATCGTTCGCAAGCTGTCGCAATCAATGGCATTGTATCTTCATGGCGTTTAGTTCCTTCAGGAGTTCCGCAGGGATTTTTGCTTGGTCCTTTGTTATTTAATATTTTTATTAATGATATTAATATTTGCTTTCATAACTCATCATTTTTATTTTACGCAGATGAACAAGACCTGGCAAGACTTGAGGACATAATATTATCATAATAAGTAAATTAAATAACCTAGACCTCAACGTATCAAAATGTTTCCTAATTTCATTTACACGTAAGACCAACGTCATAGTCCATAACTACACCCTAAAAAGCCACAATTTGGAACGGGTATACTATATACGAGACTTAGGTGTAATACATGATTCCAAACTTACGTATGAGAGGCACATCGATTACATAGTAAATAAAGCATATAAAGCCATGGGTTTCTTAAAAAGAACCTGTTCTCAGTTCTCTAGTATCAAAGTTATTAAAATGTTAAACTGTTCGCTTGTCCGTAGCTCACTCGAATATTGTTCACAGGTTTGGAATCCTCGGTACGATGTTTATATCTCAAGAATTGAATCTATACAGAAAAACTTTACCAGATATCTCCAATACAAGTGTAGGACAGATGATTGCAATTACGAATCTAGATGTAATAGATTTCACCTATTGCCCCTTAAAGAGAGAAGGATGATATTAGATGTTTCATTTTTTGTTAAATTGGCTCAATCACATATTGACTCGTCTACCCTTCTCTCTAACATTGGTTTACGCGTTCCAAAAAGGTCGGTCAGGATACCATCTCTTAATCTTAATGTCCCTCATTGCAGTACTAATTATCGTCAAAATTCATACTTTATAAGAGCTGTAAAGTACTTCAATACACTTACGGACTATTCGGAACTTGACATATTTGCCACTAAGCCACAGGTATTCACGAGAACTCTTTCTAAACACTGGTTTGATGTGGTTCAATAATTGTGTTAATTTAAGTTACTTAGTTTGTATTTTATATTGCTGTAGTGTAACACTTTCATTGTTTTTTTTTTTTAAAACAGATAAGCTTATTATTCATATGTGAAAACATTTAATTGGTTTCTAGATTTTTATATTTGTAATCTAAGTGATTGTTATAAAACTGTTTGTTTTCCTATTAAAATAAAATATATATATATATATATAATAGCTAGTCTAGGTCTATATAATGGCTAGTCTTCGTGACTAGCCGGAGTGGACAGTGACGAGGAACAAGCCCTCCTATCTCATTCTTGCCTTAATTGGCTGGCTTGAGTGGAGATTTGCAAGAGTAGGAGTTGAAGGAGACTCGGGGGAAGGATGTGTCTCAGTAAGGTGCTGGTAGGGTTCTTGACCGTACTTCCGCGATTGCTCTGATAGCCTTGGGATGCCTCTCCTTCCCCAAGCAGCTCAACGTATGTTCACGCGTGTCGCTACATGCTAGCAGCCGTTTTCGGGAGGCCATTAATTGAGTTTGCCAGTCAACCCCTGCCTGTTCATTCGTATGTAACAATATTGGTCAGGGGCAGGGGCCATAGTATTTCACCCATAACCATACAATCTTTTACCATTTTGCACAATAGTCCTGCGTCAACCGGGGATTGTCCTTGGGTGCACTTTTATAGTGCATACAACGAGCCTGTGCGAGTTGACTTCGGCTCCTCGTGCGCCTTCCAAAGGTCCGGGATCCTGTTATCCCCTGAACGAAAACGGACACACAAAAGACTAAATCTATAAAAATAATTGCAGGTGAGTGAGGTGCCAAATTATTCCCCCCCCCCCCCCTAAATTCCCTTATATATTATCCATAAATCCACTTGTAGTAACTCCTCTGGTATTACGAGTGTCCATGGGTGGAGTCGATGGCTTACCATCAGATAATCTGATTACTCATATCTCACCTATGACATAAAAAGATTTGATGTTTACTGTGGCTTTATCTTAAAAAACACAAACCAAAAAATCGAGTAAACGGCCTCTAAGCAAAAGTAGGTATACAAGCCGTTTTAAAACACGTATGACGTAATAATTAACTATGAATAGTTTGGCCCATTAAGGCCGTTGTCCGTGGTGTCGGTGGTGCGAGTGCAAACGCACAAATGTTCAGACCTACTGCGGCTGCCGCTCCGAGCAAGAGACGGAACGTCGTGGTCCTCAATTGCCTAACCCAATGCGGGACAAGTCTTTCAATGATTTTCCCCACTTATGCCAGCTCACTAATGTACCTACTGCGGCCTCGGCTCCGGGCAAGAGAAAGGACGTCGTGGTTCTCCATCAGTAAAGCTATGACACTTCCTCATGCCTTACCCGATGCGGGTGTAGTCATTCGATGATTTTCTAATAATAGTAAGTAATACATTCTACAAGCATGAAAGTTCAAGGAGTTGTACCTATCTAACAACACTTTATGACAATTTGTATGTCATTAGCAGGTTAATATATGTAATCATCTGGAAATTAAGTGTGTATGTAGGTATAAATTTGACATGATTGATATTTCATGTAATTATAATACTCAATGAATATCTAAGTAGTCGATATAAATGTGTAGGTACCTACAGGTATTTACATGAACATAGGCTATAGAATTTATTTAAAATTAACCTCATTTAAATAAGTATTCAAACACGTAAACGTTTGGAAGTTAATAATTAACTATCTAACTACCTATAACTACGTCTATGGCGAGGGCCTAGGTAGGTATTTTATTCGTGCTGTTTCATGGCGTGTTCACGCCCTATACTCCCTTTACACACAAAGGTAAATTAAAATAATGTAACACTCCCTTTTACTACACTGAAGTTATAGGTACCTACCTACTAAAGTACTTAGGTAGTAAGTTTTTTATGGGCGGCAAACAAGGAAGGTAATCCGAGATTCGGAGTTGGGGGTGGGTAGTCAGTTAGAGATTTGGGGATTGGAGATAAAGGAAGGAGGAGGATTGGGCCTCCGGTAATTGCACGTACACATCCAAGAAATGTAATACTGTTTCACTCTGACCAATAGGATATGAGATAGGATTTTATCAACATAGGTACCACGCGGGCGAAGCCGCGGGTGGAAACTAGTATACGTAATAAACGTCAATTGTTCCGTAAATCCGTAGTGAGGTTAACGACTACTCGACCAACAGTATTTACTGATATCAACTTACCCAAATTAACATTATCTATACTTAAAATAAATCTGTAGAGGGGTCAATTCTGTACATTAAATATATTTTCAAAATACATGACTACCAGGGGGTGATAAGTGATCGATAATGATGCCAAAAATGCAATCAGTAAAATTTTGTCTCTGTCTGTCTGTATGTTCCTTATAGAAACAAAAACTGCCCGACGGATTTTAACAAAACTTGGTCAAATTATTCTTTATACTAATCAGGTAATGGGGTATTTACCCATTGGAGATGTAGGTACCCATAAAAATGAGACGATTAATAACAAAATGTATGTATACTTCAATTTTGTTCTATTGCTATAGGCTGCTTTTTATTAACACAGCACGCGGGCGTAGCCGCTGGTGGAAGCTAGTGGTGGCATAATATAATAATGTTGGTAGTTATTTAATCCTCGATCATAATTTAGTTTGTAATACTTAGACAATCAAAATCATCACATTGTTTCTACTTAAATATTTTGTTTACTTAATTGATTAAGTAACTGCAGGTAATAGACAGGTAATAAATGTGATGGGCACTTAAAAAAGCGGAAATGCTTACGAATAAGAAGGAGTATCTGACAACATGGGCGGCCCCTACCTATATTTACCTTCAGTTAATTGACCTATGTTTTGACTCTACGAAATTGCCCGCACACACACTCACTAACCACACCACACACTTTAATAACTTTCTTCACTAGTTTGTTCTAGTGCTTCCCCTGATTAATTTCTTTTATAAATTCTCAATCTGTAAAGAAGCTTGACTTTACTTTCGGTGTTGTTAGAAATAGAACTTGTATCATTTTTTTCGACATTCAAAACGCCCGATACTTATTACTTATACCTACCTAAGTTAAGACGTTACCTAAGATCAATAAGATGAGAGACGGGAAATTCTGGGAACTAAGTATTTATACTTACAATAAACTATCAAGTTTACTCTTTTATGACTTACAAAACGGGACAAGTACCTAGGTAAAATCAACTGAACAATTTCCCATAGACGTACAAACGTACCTACTGTTTGTAGACACACTTACACAAAAAGGAGCTGTTGCTGTTTCCATTACCCACATTGGTATTTCATACAGTTCATTAGTTTGATGTAGGTAAACGTTGTCGTTTCATAGTAAATTAATAAAACGAACAGTTTCAATCCGCGAGCGTGTCGGTGAGTGCGGAAAACTTTTTCATCATGAAAGTCGGTGACGTTCCCAAAAATGGATATTCGATAAATAATTCGTACACTTCAATGATTCCCTTAATTAGGATCCTAAAAATTTTCGCATTAAACGGCAATGTAGACCCAACACGGTCCAAGTCGTCTGTTCTTCTGAAGAGCGTCTTTACAATGTTGGTTCTTGGTGCTGTGAGTTTTTATTGCTTAGCATACAAAATACGCTATATTTACTATAAACTGGATCTTTCTATCAGACTAACAGACTCGATTCAGATAATTACAGACAATTGCCAATATGCCATCGATTTATACTTTGTTTATAGATATGGACGGCATATGTACGTGGAATACTTCAAACAGTACGAGAAAATGGACAACTTCCTTGACACGAATTGTTATTCCGCGATGAAACGAAAAATTATAAAAATAATGTCATTTTTTACAATTATTTGGTTTCTGAGTTCTTTTAGTGATATGGGAGCGTGGGCCGTTACGTTTGGATGGTGGATTCCATTTGTTCATATTATTTCATTTGTGTTTCTGTACACTAAAATGCTGACGACATTGGACTTGATAGCGAACGTGATACAAATAGAGGCTCGACTTCGAATGATCAGCAACTTAGTTCAGAATTGCTACACTTGTACGGAAATGTGTCCGATTGGAATGTTGACGGATTCTGTACGCAACAAAAATTGGCTCTACTGCGAAGATGAAGTTTCCCCTCAAAGTACTAAAATACGTCCGGTCGATAGCTGTGAAATAAAACGCCTGTGTAAGTGTTACCTTCTACTGACAGAGCAAGTGATGTTCATTAACAAAATGTACGGATTCAGGGTAAGTGACTACAGCCCACTTTAATGTTAATAGGTTCAAGAGTGTATTGAGTTTCATACCACTTCTTTTAAATCCATAGAAAGTTACGTTTTGGAATATATACGTATAGATAAGACAATTATACTTAAGTAAGACAATTGAAGTTACAGAGGGCACAGCACAAGGTTCAGTCTTGGGGCCCTTACACTTTCTGGCCTATGTGAACGATATGAGTAGCTGTATAGAACACAGCACTTGTTACCAGTTTGCAGATGACACTTGTTTAGTAGTAGCTGATAAGGACCCTCAAAGTGCATGTGATCGTTTGCAATCTGATTTCAACTCATTATTAAAGTGGTGCCACGATTCTGGATTAGTACTCAATGCTAATAAAACCAAATTAGTAATAATAAAGTCGCCATATTTAAAATGCTATTATCCTAAAAATATAATTGCTCACGATCATAAATGTTTGCATGACATTCGTACGGGGACATGTAACTGTCCTCGTATTGAGGTAGTAGCTTCTCAAAAATATCTAGGACTTGAGATAGACAACAAATTTAACTGGGGCAAGCACGTTGAGCATATTTGTAATAGGTTAAGGCAATTTTTAGCTAATATTATAATTCTTAAGAACCGAATACCCTTCAAAGTTAAACTTATGTTGTATAATTCCTTAGCTGAATCATATATCCGGTATGGACTAAGCAGTTACGGTAGGACTTTTAAAACTTATCTCAACCAAATATACAAACTGCAACTAAAAATTCTTAAAAATATTGTGTCATCAAATATAAAAAACAAATTCAGGGACAATGATCAAGGATTATTCAAACATTGTAATGTATTACCCGTTCACACGCAATTTAATTATGTGATACTTAAAGAACAATTTTTTAATGACCATTTAAAAAAACTTATCCAACACCCTGTATACACCCGAGCGATTGCTCGAAACCGGCTTTGCACAGTAGGTGCCAACAATACTTACGGCGAGCGCACAACATCTTACCTGGTTCCTCGTTTAATTAATAACTTACCCGCAGACATACGAAATGCTATAACAAAAAGTAATATAAAAATTAAACTAAAGTCTTACTTTCTGCAGCTTTTGGAATACTGATATTAGATTGGGAATATAGTTACCAATATCCTAAATGTAATGTCCCTACATATGTAAATAAGTAAATATTCCTTAAACCTAGATCTAACAATCTTGATGTAAACTAGTAGTAGCATTAATTGCAAACTTCAGTAGTTTATGAATGCTATGTATACCTATTCATGTTTTTGTTTTTTAAATGGTAATAAAAAAAAAAAGATACTTGGGTAGGTACATTTATCAGAAGTTAGCAATTTTGAAACAACGAAAAAAACGTATGATTTATTTTATCGCTTATTTCCGTCATTAATAATAGGTTACCAGCTTTTTCGAGAATATGTGTAGGTATATCTGTGATATTAATTGCATGTTCTCAAACTTTCAGGTTCTCCTAAACACTTTAAGCCTCCTCCTGGATATGGTGAAAATATTGAATTTAGCAATCAGAATCTCTGTTGGTTCTCAGGTTGGTCATAATCTAAGAATAAACATATACTACCTGCTTATTTAATCCATTATGTAATATTTAAAACATTTTTTACAAGGACGGAACTGCTCTAGTTCCAAACGGAAACCAAAATTGACTTATTCCAAATGACCACTATAGGCACTTTTAAACGTCAAACAAGAAATAAGTAAATATCAAACAGTTCAACATTATGTCTTGAGAGACTTATAGTTGAACTTGTGAGTCTATCGGTCTGTCATCTTGTGGATGAAGCTATTTGCTCGTTCTTAAGTGTCCTTTAGAAAAGAACGAAGAACGAGCAAAACCTCCATGGTGACCTACTGATTTCAATCAGTTTCACAATTTATTTTTATAACATCATTTAGTCGGTAACTATAATCTTGATACAGGTATAAACAGAAGTCATCATATTTCTTAAATATACATACCTATAAGTATAAGTAAGTAAAAGGTATCGACTGCTAGTATCGCCCCTACTGCCAACAACCAAGTACCAACACAGTAAACTGTACCTAATTCAGCCAGGGTTGCGGGGTAAACGCAATGAGGCACCGCGACCTCGACTGACAGCAGGAAAAGGAACGAGTTTTTTTAGTCAGTAAGAGTCTGACACTCCCTTCCGCCCGACCCTGGGCGAGAGAAGTCAATTGATTGTCCCCTCACAAAAAAAAGCCAGGGCAGCGGGGCAAGTGCAAATAAAGCTCCAAAGCCTCGGCCTAGAGTAGGAGAAGGAACGGAGTTTTATATAATAGTCAGTTAAGGATCTGACATTCCTCTGATGATTTTCCCCTCACAATAAAACCATAGTAAGTAATCAACATTAACTGATTACTTTTTTTTCTCATATATTTTATGTTTTACAGAAGACTCTATACTCAGGCGAAAATTACAATTATTTACCCGGATTTACGGGTTTGATACGTTTTGTGACCTGCGCTATAATTGTCATTACTTTGGTGGACCAATGTGAGCAAACCTACAGACAAAGAGAGCGCATCATCAATGTCATCGACCATCTTATATTAAACAAAAGGCCGGGTAAGTTGTCATTCTTGAGCTTTCATAACACATGGTACCTACCTGATACGTTATAAGGAATAACTTGTCAACACAGTTATTATTCACATTCCGCACTTAGCCGGCATTGTAAATGATTGAAAATAATAATCAATATCTATGCATTTTGTTCAACAGATGAAGATCTGAAACCTGCCATAATGGATTTGAGGACGCTGCTACAAGACCGACCCATATGCTTCAACATGTCTAACTTCTTCTCACTAAATTATTCTCTTTTAGTTTCTATAACTTCTGTAGTAGTTACATATACTATTATATTACTACAAAGTGTAAATTAATTATACATTCTAAAAACATTATAATTGTAAAATAGAACATTAAACAAATGACCATAGAAATACCTAAGTACTTCGTTAATTCAACTTTCCATGCAAACTCTACATTAAAACAGTTTCATCTTTCGTTTCATTTTATTACAACAATGTACCTACTTTCTGAAACCTGAGTAAGTACTTATATTTTTTTTTTGTGAGGGGAAAATCATCAAATGACTTCTCCCGCCCAGGGCCGGGCAGGAGGGAGTGTCAGACTCTTACTGACTAAAAACCCCCCTGTTCCTTCTCCTGCTCTGTGCCGAGGTCGCGGTACCTCATTGCGCTTACCCCGCAACCCCGGCTGAACATCAGCCCTTTAGGGCCCCGACGTTTAACCTATCCTTTAAAGCATAGACAATTCACATAAATATTATGTTAAACTTCGGTATATTCAAATCTTTTAAATGCAAATTTTTTTTTTTTAAATCTCAAACAATGCATCGGTATATCTATACCGATGCATTGTTTAAGGCGTAAGCGCAGTCCCAGTCCGGGGTTGCGGGGTAAGCGCAATGTAGCACCGCGGCCTCGGCCCAAAACAGGAGAAGGAACGGGGTTTTTAGTCAGTAAGCCCGACACTCTCTCTCGCCTTGCCCTGGGCGGGAGAAGTCATTTGATGACTTTCCCCTGACAAAAAAAAACACGGGGTGGGGAAAATAGGGAAAATCCATGTCTGCCAAAAGAAAAACTTGTCACCTATGTTTTTTTAGATTTCAGATTCTCACTGCATAATATATAAAAAGCTTTAGAAGGACGGGAATAAGAAAACGTTTACGTAGGTTGCTAGGATGTGGATTGTAGAAGACTTCATCAAGACACATAAAAAAATTAAATAATTTTCTTCTGGCGATTGGCTTGGCACCACTCACTCACAGAATGATAACTGAAATAAAAAAATGTACCTACAGTCAAGCGAAAAATTTTTTTAATATAGGTAATATTTGAAGCAAAATCATTTTTTATGTAAAAACCGTTTATTGATATTAAAATAACCATTATTTGAGTTTAGACTGCTGACCTTGAAATCAACTCACAAAACGGACTCGAGTTAAAGATAGCATCACAAAATTATAAAATGTTTATTCCCTTTGTGTGTATTATTGTGCAAACGGTGACTCAATTAAAACAATGAGGTAGCTTAATACCTAACTAACTAAGCGCATACGGTAAAGTCATGTCTAGAAAAAGTCAATGATTAATATAAATCACTTAGGTACTTTTGACTGTACCTATGGTACCTACCAATTTTATTATTGATTTCTTTAATTATCTGTGAGTGGTCTCAGTCGCCGGAAGAAAATTTATTAAAATTTTACGGTACCGGCTACCTACAGAGACCACGGTACGCGTTTTTGCGGTCCCAACCTAAGTAAGCCGTAGTGTGGCACCTTTTAACGCTATTACAGGATTTATATCTCTGGATAAGAGAGTCTGATCAATTGTAATTTTAAAACTTCACACGATGACTCCTTAGTCTGGTCTTGAAAATGGCAAAATCCATTTCAGAATCTGAGCCAGACCACGTTATCTTTGAAGATTAAGATAATCACCACAACAGCAGTAGCAAGATCCTCGAAGGAAACGCCCGGTTGTTGTCGTTGTAAGGACCACCCGAAGGACATGGTGGAACATACGGCGACGGTGTGCCTTGTTTCGACTGCGCACCGCCGTGTTATCAGGAAAGTCATCGACGGCGACGACCCCTTTCCGGCTGGCCTTAGTCGAGACCATCGTGCGGAGCGAGAGGGGAAGTCGTCTCCTCTTTCTGCGAAGCAATACCTAATGCTCGCAAAGGTGGAGCGCGTGAGGGAACTATCCTCGTCACGCCCCAGCCGCTGCAGCTTCAGACGAAGCAAACTTCAGTCGAAGCAAGCTTCAGACGGGTCTTTTCGGGTTTGCGGTCGGCGACCCGAAAAGAGGCGTCAACTTAGGGAAGTGGTGGTTGTAAACAGCGAAATTCACAACAGTTTACCGCAAGCCCATGGTTAGCTATATCACGTCCCTTTGAGCTATGTTTACTACACGGATGGCTGTGAAGACGCGATTAGTATTTAATCATACGAGCGGTGGGTACTATTTAAAACTGGCTGTCAGGAATAAAAGTACCTCAGAATACAGAAAAGTACTCAATGCGCGTTAAGCGCATGTTTGAGTCAGTACGAGTCTGACAATTCCCCTCCCCCTTTTCAGTTCCGGAGAAATCATTAATTGTATCCCCCGTGAAAAGGCGTTTGCTTAACTAAGGAAAACGAAATCATAAAGATAAATTTGAAAACAAAATCAATTAATTATCTGGGGTTGCGGGTCAAACGCAATACGTAACTGATCCTACGAGTCGCCCGACCTGAAGCAGGAAAAGGAACGAGTGGTATTGTCAGTACAAGCCGGACACTCCCTCGTCCTACCTAGGGCAAGATTAGTCATTTTATAATTTTCATCAATTTTCATTTCATCATCCCTCAAAAACAGAACGTTACATTCGTAAACGATAAAATTTTTTAGATAAACATTATTTATTAGGTTAAGTAAGTATGCACGTCATGGAGAAATTAAGTTTATCGCACGAAACGACTTACCATATTTTTATCGGCGTTCAAAGCTCTGTGATTAACTCTCCCAGCTACATTAACATAATTATTAAGGTGATTGTTCAGTTACGTTTCGTGTTAAGCACGTAGAATTCGCATGACATAAAAAATAGCGGGCTGTTTGAAAATTATAGTAAGGTAAGGTCTAAGGTCAACAGCGACAAATATTGCACATACATCGACCTTTTTATTTAAAAGAGACAGTTTTATACGATATTACGTACCACCATCATTGTTTTATTTATATAAAACTTGAAACTTTTTTCGTTTTTTTTTTAAACCCTACCTATATACGGTTCAAAATCGCCACATTAGAATTTCCTTGTAATGCTAACCACATACACACAGTCACTGTACTGATGAATAAGTTCCCTGTAAGTAGGTTCCTGGTAGGTTATAGGTACCTACCTAATTAATAAAAGAATCAAAAATAAATCATAAAAGTCCTTTATTTCACTAACAACTATACTTGTAGGTAGTATTGTAGGTAACCTTAGAGTTAAGTAAAGTATGTATTTACTGTCGCTTTTAATTTATATTTTGTACTTGATGTCCTGATAACACTCTTAATTAAGTAAATGGGATGAGTAGATAGAAAAAAGGTGTAAATAGATACAAGAACAATTTTCTCATTGATATCACAATCAAAATATTATTACAACAATCACTTAAGAAGCCCCTACACATGGCAACTATGCAGAAAGAAGGTTTTAGGTAGGCACCTATTTTTGGAATCACTTTTGGTTGCAGCCAGTAAACATTTTTGTCATATCATTATGGCAAGATAATAAAAATACCTATACAAGCTGTATGCCTACCCGAATAATGGATTTACCACAATCTGTTTGTTAGAAGTTGAAAACATAATTAAGCCATGTTCTTAATTTTAGTACTTAATATATAATGATCATGAAAATGTCTTTTCTAATTCAATAAGTTTGTCTTTGCGATCAACTCCACTGTTATAACCTCCTTTGGATCCCGAAGCCACAAGCCTGTGACATGGCACAACTATAAGCAAAGAGTTTGCACCACAGGCTGCTCCAACGGCTCTGGAGTGGCTTGGGGGGCGGCCTAAATCTTTTGCTAAATCACCATAAGTTTGTGTTGACCCATATGGCAGTTCCAGTAGTTTGTCCCATACACTCTGTCAAAATAATTATTATTTCAAATTAGTGTATGACCATACTAAAACTAAGAACTTACAGAAAATCAGAGTGAAAAATGCTTGTGTAGTTTCGGCGTTGATTGCGGGGATGGCATACCATCAGGTGATTCCTCTGCCCATCTGCTTAATTAGGTATAAGTAAGAATCATAAAAAAGTGCGAGAGAGCCATGCTTCAGCACTAATAGGTCAGCTCAACCTGAGTGATACCATGTCCTCACATAAAACCGGTGTATAGTAACACTAACATTGTGTTTCACCATGTGAATGTGGATAACGGGAGGCCCAATTCTTCAGCACTCCGCCCATCCTTAATCTTAAAATTCCTAATAAAGTACAAGAGGCCGGCAACACACTTGTAGAGTCCTTTGATACTACGAGAAACCATGGGCGGGCCTGGCATGGGCATATATATTTCACAATTTTCATTGACAACAATAGTCAGTAACACACTGGTACTGCTCTGAACAATTAGGTATTTCAATTATAAAACAAAATACACAAACCTTCTGAAACTCCGAACCAATCGTTTTAGTGGGCACTGTAAACTTTTTTAATTTCCCTTCAAAGTAGTCTGATAGCTCCTTTTCAAATCTCTTTAGTATTTTGTTCTCGCTTTCAACAAAACTGCACGATAGTTCTTTGGCAAGTGTTTCAAAACATTTTTCAAAGTTTTTGGAATTCTCAAAAGTCACTATGTATAAGAAATCGTCGTCGGCTGCTGCAATAGCATTACCAACTGGAGAATCATAGCTCTGGACATTAACGGCATGCTCGGAATTTTTCGAATATTTCGCTAAGACTTTCGTCAGAGTCATTTTAACAATTTAGTTACTATTTTTCGTATTTCGAAAGTTTCTCCCGCTTTTTCAATATATGACGTTTGTAGGAATATTATTTTTTTTGTTTTGTTTTGAAATTTGAATTTGTGTTGTGACCACAGAATATTAAGATATATAGATAAATGTTGTCATGGAGTAATCCAATCATACTTTTCCATAGACATATGCTTTGCATTATGCTTTCACCTCAATGTACTTTTCAACGTTTTCAACGTTCTTCAATTTTTAAAACGTCTAATAGACGATGATTTTCCCTACTCAAATTAACCGCATTCTTTGAAATTGGTTAAAAAAAGATATATTATACGATGCTTTACCTATGTATAATACATTATTTAACATTAAACCCTTCTGCTTTCAATTGCTTAAAAATATACACTTTATATTAAAAACGTACTTAATTCAAAAAATGGTTGATCATTAAAAATATATTCAGAAAACTATAAAAGATAGCTTGGGCACGTGTTTTACACATGTATGGAGCGTAAAGTTATGTTATAAAAAATATGCAATACAAGAATCAATTTCAGCAACATCTCCTTAAAGTAAATTTTAGTATATTAGCTATGTACCTACGCCACTTTTGTAAACACTAAAATCCAAACCAGCCATGCTCGCAAATAATAGACGACACTGGGCGTCTGGGGTGTCAGGGATCGAGTGACAATCTCTGGGGTCGCCGGATCTACGGGCAGCGAATAAGAGTAGCTCGTTCTGCGCGCACCTCAAAAAGCCAGTAGACCACCATTGATGGACTCAATAGGGCCGAGGTTCAGCCGAGCGTTGCGGGACAAGCAATTATGTCGTTAAAGCACCTACTGCTATTAAAACCCATCTCCCACGTAGGTATCTAAGCTTGGCCACCTCCAGGCATTCGGATTAGAGACGTATGCTTTTATATTAAATATGATTGAGTTTTTACATAATAGGTACAGTACACCATATAAGATGTCGAATGGTTCACAGTGAACCACGTAAATAACCTAAATGTGGCTAACATTTTGTGACAGAAAACTCTTTGACATCATGACGTCAATGGATGGTTGTCAAACGTTGCCTAGAGATTGTAAATTTCGTCGTGAATTGTCAATACGAGTTGGTGTAATTGGTAAGGCGTGTGGATTACACCACAGAGACCCCGAGTTCGAGTCCCGCCGTAAACATGAAGTTTTTTAGTTGATGGAAGTTTTGTCGAACTTTCTGGAATTATTTGTGTGAAAGAGATGAAAAATTAAAGAGTGAGAAGGAGAATAAATAAAAATGAATAGCGAAATTATTGGAAGGTTCTGGAGGCATGACGATCAAAAAGAATAACGAAATTGAATGTTCCAGAACCTGACCGGGGGTATATAAGCAGAACTGCGGCTCACCGCTGGCAGTTGAGTTCTAAGTCTAAAGCGATTCGGAAGAAAAGGAAGAAGTGAAAAAGAAGAAAAGTGAGTGAAATAGTGAAGTGCAGTCAGTTAAGTGAAGTTAGCGTGAACGGCAAAGTTGTGTCAGTCGGCCGGACTCTGCTGGAGAGGAACGCCGATAACTTAACTCCGTGGACGCTGTAACTTAAGCGCAATAGAAAGTCTGAAAACCGGTATTAGTGTTTCATTTCATCCAATCCCGTAACCCAAGCCCGCATAGTCAGGAACGTGACGTCAGGCACGTAACATTTGGTGTCAGAAGTGGGATTGGAGAAAAATGCCGCTAGTGCCGCAGGACGTAAGAGGAGTGAGTACCCGTGCTATGTCAGAAGCGCAGCGTGTGAGGGAAGAGGGTGCTGCAGCTCAGACCAGCGATGCAGAAGCCAAGCCTGTGCAGATGGATCTTCTGCTACAGCTGCGGCAAATGATGGCAGAACAGCTGCGTGAGCTGAAAGAAGATCAAGCGCGCCGCCAAGAAGAGCAAGCACGCTGTCAGGCAGAACAGCTGCGGGAGCTGAAAGAAGATCAAGCGCGCCGCCAAGAAGAGCAAGCGCGCCGCCAAGAAGAGCAAGCGCGCCGCCAAGAAGAGCAAGCGCGCCGCCAAGAAGAGCAAGCACGCTGTCAGTCAGAACAGCTGCGGGAGCTGAAAGAAGATCAAGCTCGTCGCCAAGAGGAGCAAGCGCGTCGCTTGGAGGACATGCATAAAGATTTCACGAAGGGACTGCAAAAGGCTGTCGAACGGGTACAAGAAGTGGAGGAAGGTTTAGGCAAGTTGGAACATCGCGTCATGGCGATAGAGGAGAGAGTGGAAGAAGAGATCTCCAAAATCAAGCAGGAAGTGACAAGCCCAAGCCCTTTGAAGAGCCGAAGCCGTCTTGCAGCCGTTTTTGACGCCCCAAATGCGGCCTCAAGCGCAACGAAAGGGCTGAAGATTCCCCATTACGACGGAACAACATCCTGGACCGCGTTCAAGCTACAGTTTGAGACACTTATGGAGGCTTATGGTTGGACTCAGAAGGAAGCACAGTCAGCCCTCACCCTGGCCCTCCGTGATCAAGCGCTCTCAGTGCTGGAAGCTATCGGCGCAAGTGGGGATCTCAGCTTTAGTACCCTCCTCGACGCACTTGAGGCACGTTTTGGAGACAGCCACCTCGAGCACGTGTACAGAGCGCAATTAAAAGAGCGTACTCAGCGTGCTAATGAGAGTCTACAGCAATGGTCCGTGGAAATCGAGAAACTTGTGCGTCGAGCTTTTCGGTCGACTCCATCAATGATTGAAGGCACGCTTCTCCAAGCATTCATTGACGGTGTTCGGGACCCCGAAGTACGAGCTGCTGTTCATCTGGGCCATCACAAGAACATGAAAGAAGCTCTGGCCCATGCATTGGAAGTGGAAGCCGTGCGTGGTAACTCCCGTACCTTACGTCTGCGGGAAATGACGACAACGGAGCAGGTACCTCCACGCCGTCGGAACTTCATGTGCTATGGATGTGGAGAGCGTGGGCACATACGGAGCGACTGCCCGAAGAAGATGAACCGCCAGGACGCGGCGGTCTCAACTTCTGACCAGCAGGGAAACTTAAATCCAGCCAGGGCTGCGGGGTGGGCGCTGGCTGGTAGTGGAACAACCCCAACAATCTACATCAAGCAAACCAACGATGGAAATACTCTGGTGATAGACGGTCAAGTAAATGGGAAAAACAGTCAGCTAACATTAGATACTGGAGCTTCAAGGACGGTGATAAATGTTCGGCTGCTCGAGCAAAACATCAGGAAACACCTTAAACCAATTGTTGGCCTACAAATGAAATCAGCTACCGGCCAGTGCATACCGATAAGTGGAAAACTGCATGTAACAATCAAAATTGGGGAACGTGTTTATCGACATGAGGTTATTGTGGCCAAAATTCTGGATGACTGCATCCTGGGACTTGACTTCCTGCAAGGGCACCAGTGTAACATCGACTTAAAATCTGGAGTTTTACTATGTGGAACTGAGGAAATTCCGATGAAGGGTGGAACCCTGGGAAAAGTTTGCTGTTTAAGAAGAACTGTTCTTGCACCAAAATCACAGACTCTCGTACCAATCGCATTACCTAGGAGGAAGGAAGGAAGTTTACCTCGAAGGTGCGCTGTGATTGATAAATCGGAACACGTAAGCTCATGGCTACCGGCAAGAACTGTCGTGGGGTCATCTGATGTCAACCGCATTCCGGTATTCAACTTCAGTGATTCAAAAATTACGATTGAAGAAGGAGAGCCTGTGGGCGTATTGGAAGAAGTAGCCTGGATAAGAAAATGCTCGGAGAATCTTGTGAAGAAGGACAGTACGGGAATTGACTTTGTAACGAAAATCTTAGACGAAAACAAAAGCCTGACAAAAGTGGAGACTATGAAAGCTAGAAATTTACTTCTTCGATTCTCTGATGTGTTTTCAAGAAGCGATGGTGATATTGGCCGAACTGGTTTGGTGAAGCATAAAATAAACACAGGTGATACAATGCCAATTCGTCAAAGGCCCAGACGCATACCATTCGCTCGTGAGAAAGAGGTTGAAGAAATGATTGACGATATGAGGAAAAATGACGTGATAGAGCCCTCTTCTAGCCCTTGGTGTTCACCTGTCGTGCTTGTCAAGAAGAAAGATGGTTCAACGAGGTTTTGCGTAGACTATCGACGATTGAATGATGTAACCAAGAAGGATAGCTACCCGTTACCAAGAATCGATGACACACTTGACACATTGAGTGGCATGAAATGGTTTTCAACGCTCGATCTGAAAAGCGGCTATTGGCAGGTGGATTTGGATCCCAAGGACAAGGAAAAGACCGCATTCTCAACTGGGAAGGGACTCTGGCAATTTAAGGTGATGCCATTTGGATTATGCAATGCACCGGCAACTTTTGAGCGTTTGATGGAACAGGTGCTGGCGGGACTGCTGGGCGAAACCTGCCTAGTTTACCTCGATGACATCATCATTGTTGGACGGGATTTTGACGATCATCTAAGGAAATTGGAAAAGGTACTCGACAAGCTGCGTGGAGCAAATTTAAAGTTGAGTCCAAAGAAATGCTCTTTCTTCAAGCGCGAAGTGAATTATCTAGGACATGTTATTTCTGAGAGAGGAATTGAGACTGATCCAGCCAAGACTGTCGCTGTCAAGGAATGGCCAACACCTAAAGACAAAACGCAAGTTCGGGCATTTCTTGGATTGTGCTCGTATTATCGGCGGTTTGTGAAAGGATTCTCGGACATTGCCAAGCCATTGCATCGATTGACAGAGGATAAACGTGCCTTTGTTTGGGACGAGGATTGTGAGCAAGCCTTTCGAGAACTAAAAGAACGGCTTTGTAACACACCAATTCTCGGATATCCCAGCGCGAAAGGAATATTCGTAGTAGATACGGATGCCAGCAATATTGGAATAGGAGGTGTCCTTTCACAACGCGATGGTGAGCAGGAGAAGGTTATTGCTTACTTCAGCAAGTCACTATCCAAGCCGGAGAAGAATTATTGCGTGACCAGGAGGGAATTGCTGGCCGTAGTCAAAACTCTGCACCATTTCAAGAAGTATTTACTGGGACGGAAATTTTTGATCAGAACTGATCACGCTGCTTTGAAATGGCTGCTTCAGTTTAAGGATCCCGAAGGCCAAGTAGCCAGATGGTTGGAACAACTTCAGGAATTTGACTTTGAAATCGAACATCGCGGCGGAAGAATTCATGGCAACGCAGATGCATTATCGAGACGCCCATGCGTGGAAGATTGCAAGCATTGTGCCAAGAAGGAAACTGCTTTTCTTAAGGTGATAAGGACTGATACTGTTGACGAGGCATGGGGAGATGATGCGATGAAATTAGAACAGGAAAGAGATGCAGATATCAAACCAATACTGGAGTGGCTACGAAGTGGTAACAAGCCAAGTTGGAGTGACGTCGCGCAATATAGCGCGGTAACGAAAGGTTTATGGGCACAGTGGAAAAGCCTCACGCTGCATAACGGACTTCTGTGCAGGAAATGGGAATCAACAAACGGCAAGGACGAGCATTTGCAATTGGTGGTGCCTCGTTCAAAAATAAGGGATGTATTAAAAGCGTTCCATGATGGATCTTCTGGAGGACATTTGGGAATTAGGAGGACTTTGGTGAAGATCAAGGAGAGGTTTTATTGGTTGCATTGCAAATATGACGTCGAAGATTGGTGCCGGAAATGCACTAGTTGTGCAGCTGTCAAGGGTCCACAAACAAGAAGCAGAGGGGCGATGAAAATCTACAATGTTGGTATGCCTTGGGAGAGAATAGCCTTAGACATCGCTGGACCATTTCCAATCACTGATTCGGGCAATCGCTACGTTTTAGTGGTTATGGATTATTTTACAAAATGGCCGGAGGTCTTTGCCATACCGAATCAAGAGGCAGTAACTGTAGCCACGAAGTTGGTAAACGAGGTATTCACCCGATTCGGAGTGCCCTTGGAGATGCACAGTGATCAAGGACGGAACTTTGAATCCCAAGTTTTCCAGGAAACTTGTAAACTTTTGGGAATCCATAAGACTCGAACGACCCCTTATCATCCACAGTCAGATGGAATGGTCGAACGCTTCAACCAAACATTGGAGCGACACTTAGCAAAGGTGGTTGACAGCCATCAGAGAGATTGGGACACTTACATACCTCTCTTCTTGCTTGCCTATCGGACTGCTGTACATGAAAGTACCGCAAAGACGCCTGCATTTGCAAATTTTGGAAGGGAATTGAGATTACCGGCAGATCTTGTGTCGGGCTGTCCACCTGGTGACTCTCGCACCGAGTTTAGCGATTACATAAGCGAGTTAAGGGCAAAAATGTTGGACATTTATGAGCAGATCAGGGAGGCCGGTCTTCAAGCTAGTGATCGCGCAAAGACGCGCTATGATCGACGAGCCAATTCTGTTGGGTTTGAAGAGGGGTCATTGGTCTGGCTTCATAATCCAGTCAGAAGGAAGGGAAAATCTCCAAAGCTGCAACCGAGTTGGGAAGGTCCTTACGAGATAGTCACGAAGATCAATGACATTACTTACAGAATTCGGAAGTCTTCAAGGAGCCCTTTGAAAGTTGTCCATATAGACAGGTTGGCGAGGTATTACGGCAGCAACGATGCTCGGGACGAGCGAATCTAAGAGGGGGGCAGTGTGACAGAAAACTCTTTGACATCATGACGTCAATGGATGGTTGTCAAACGTTGCCTAGAGATTGTAAATTTCGTCGTGAATTGTCAATACGAGTTGGTGTAATTGGTAAGGCGTGTGGATTACACCACAGAGACCCCGAGTTCGAGTCCCGCCGTAAACATGAAGTTTTTTAGTTGATGGAAGTTTTGTCGAACTTTCTGGAATTATTTGTGTGAAAGAGATGAAAAATTAAAGAGTGAGAAGGAGAATAAATAAAAATGAATAGCGAAATTATTGGAAGGTTCTGGAGGCATGACGATCAAAAAGAATAACGAAATTGAATGTTCCAGAACCTGACCGGGGGTATATAAGCAGAACTGCGGCTCACCGCTGGCAGTTGAGTTCTAAGTCTAAAGCGATTCGGAAGAAAAGGAAGAAGTGAAAAAGAAGAAAAGTGAGTGAAATAGTGCAGTCAGTTAAGTGAAGTTAGCGTGAACGGCAAAGTTGTGTCAGTCGGCCGGACTCTGCTGGAGAGGAACGCCGATAACTTAACTCCGTGGACGCTGTAACTTAAGCGCAATAGAAAGTCTGAAAACCGGTATTAGTGTTTCATTTCATCCAATCCCGTAACCCAAGCCCACATAGTCAGGAACGTGACGTCAGGCACGTAACAATTTTATCAGCACCAAATGACGAATATAGAACTTTGCTGAACCGTGCTACTACCATATTTATTTACCTACCCCTTTTTTAGTATAGATTTCTTATGAGCTCATATTTCTGTCCGTTCACTTTTACAGAACCCGCTAAATAATAAGTAGGTACATTCGTTTGTCAAAATTGTAGATCGAAGTTTATATTTATTAGGTAATCGTAGGTACTTTATTATCTTCAACTGTACGTCTGTACCTATATTACTCATCACTTGAATTTTATTCTTGGAAGATTAAACAACAGGGTTAAGTAGAAATTGCGGTGAAAGCAGTTTATCCTCACTTCGCTATTACATTTTTTGTGAGTGGAAAAATCGTCAAATGCCTTCTACCGCAAAGGCTTTTTTTTTTTTTTTTTTTTTTTTTTTTTTTTTTTTTTTTTTTTTTTGTGAGGGGAAAATCATCAAATGACTTCTCCCGCCCAGGGCCGGGCAGGAGGGAGTGTCAGACTCTTACTGACTAAAAACCCCCCTGTTCCTTCTCCTGCTCTGTGCCGAGGTCGCGGTACCTTATTGCGCTTACCCCGCAACCCCGGCTGAACATCAGCCCTTTAGGGCCCCGTCTGTGGTGGTCTATTGGCTCTTTGAGGCGCGCGCGGAACGCTACGCGCCGTACGCTCGGGCCTGGTTCTGGTCGGGCGGCGAGCTGCCCTTACTCGCCGACCGCAGGCCCGTACTTACGGTGGCCGGAGATCGTCCCTCGATCCCCGACGCCCGTAGTGTCGCCAGTTGCGGCTGCTGGGGCGTGAGGAGGAGGATTGCTCCCTCACGCGGGCCGCCTCTCTCTTTGCGAGCATGACTGCTTCACAAAAGGAGGAGACGGCGTCCCAGTTCCTCTCACTCCGCACCATGGCCTCGACTAAGGCCGGGCGCGAGAGGTCGCCGCCGCCGATCACTTCCCTGAGGATACGGCGGTGCTCAGCCCAGGCTGGGCATACCGCTACCGTATGCTCCACCGTATCCTCTAGGTGGTCCTCACAATGACGACACTCGGGCGTTTCCTCCCGCTGAATCCGAAACAGGAACCTACCGAAGCTGCCGTGCCCGGTAAGCACCTGCGTCAGACGGAAGGTGAGGACGCCGTGGCGTCTCTCAAGCCACTCCTCAAAGAGGGGTCTTACCGCTGCTATGGTAGCGTGCCCGGCCCTCGGTTGCGACAGTCGTTGTCTCCACTCTGCCATGAGATCTCGCCGGAGCTCATTCCGCCACGCACTTATTTGGCGCGGCAGAGGATTCTACCGCAAAGGCTGGGGTGAGAAGGAGTGTCAGATGGTTACTAAAGAGCAAAAATAAAAACCCTCCGTTCCTTTGGTGAATTTATTGCGCTTGCTTGCCCCACAACCCCAGCTCACTCCGCTCTTAATATTTTCTTTTTAGGAGGAATTAAACTTATTGATTGTCTTAGCGCTATTAGGTATATCAGGTAGCGAATTATTTTAGGAAATATCTTCAAAACATCAACCAAATAAATAAAGGACTACCATGATCAAACCGTGAGATTCAACATCTGCATTTCAAATTACTGGACTTATTTTGTCAATCAGTCTGTAAACAACGAATGTGTAGCTACAACAGCAACGTAGCATTGAAACCTTCTTGTATTTATCCAAGAATTTTTAAATAATATTGTTAGAAATATCAAAAACTAATAAGGAAGGCTAGTACTAATAAAGTTCTTATAATAGATAGTATTACCGTGATAAAGTCTATCGTATGTACCTAACTAATTGACTAATCGACTAATAAGTATTGCGAGTATGAATAGTGTCGTGTGGTAACAATGATAAAAATGGATAATTGAAATATTTTATACTTAAAACCAGAAATATAAGTTATTTGCAAAAAAGCAAATGTTTTGGTATAATTGAATAGTGCTTAATCAAATAGACAGCACGGTTGGCGTAGTGGCTGGGCAACTGGCTGCTATGCAATGTGTCGCGGATTCGATTCTAGCACGGAACAACACTGTGCAATTCATAAAATTTTTGTTACGGGTCTGGGTGGTATAATTATGTAAGTGAATGTGTAAACGCACACACGACTCCAGAAAACGTTCTAGTGTGGGACAACGTTTTTAAAATATGAGAAAAAAGTAAATGACACATTGCTTAGTTTTATTAATAGATTTATTTACAACGATTACGATATTATGTAGGTATTAAAACGAGTTATTTAACTTTTACGACAGCTTTTCCAGTATTCTCTCCTCTTAGCATACCTACAAGAGCATCTACCATGTTATCAAAGCCGTGATACACTTTTTCTTGATACTTCAATTTTCCTTCACTGAGCCATTTCAAATTGGCTTCGATCCCTTCATTCCACCGATCGGTCCACCGGTTTACAAGGAATCCTTCTACCTTTAATTCCTTAAAAACAATTGCTGGTTGCAGAATTGTCACTGAAATATAAACAGTAATTTTAATTGACACGTTGTACTTAAATAAATAAAACGGTGTCAATCTGCTGAACATAAATCCCTTAATACAGACTAACACGTTTTAATTCGAATTTTTATTATGGCCAAAATGAAAAACGAACCTTTAGGCAGTTTCATATCATTGTATGACGAAATGGAACCACAAACAGCGACTCTTCCATATTTATTCATGTAAGACATAATAGTTGTACTGATTTCACCGCCGACCTAGTAAAAAGTAACAATTTTATGAACAAAAAAATTACACATTTGTAGCCAATACTTCAAAGAATAGTACCTAAGACAAAGAAACGCATTTTAAAAACTTACATTATCAAAGTAACAGTCCACTTTTTTAGGACAACCATCTTTAAGAGCAGCTTTGATGTCTACGGTTTTGTAATTGTAAGCCCGATCAAAACCTAGTTCCTTTTCCAAATATTCACATTTTTCATCTGTTCCCGCAAAGCCAACAACACGGCAACCTGAAAAAAACCGTCAACCCAAAATAAAGACCTTGTCCCTTCTTTGATCATCGCGCATCATTGTTATTTTAATCTTCTTTTTCTTAAATACCAGAATCTTATTATGGTCTAGACTAGATATTATTATGACCTAGCTTCAACTAACAACTGTGCTTGTTATTATAATTTTTTATTACTCAATTAAAGCAATACCTACCTAATATTTTGCCAATTTGTCCAACATGTGATCCAACGGCACCCGCGGCGCCAGTAATTACAATTGTCTCACCAGGTTTAGGCTTGCATATTTCTTTTACGCCAAAGTAAGCTGTATTTCTGTAACAATAGTCATACAACTCATAGATAAGTACTCATACAATACATAGATAAGTTAGTTAATTTTCGTCATTATTAGCGACACGCCTTTTCAGGGCTCGCAAAGTCAAAAGTGCATTACAAATGCACTTCCTATTAAAAAGTGCATCTGTAATGCACTTTTGAGTTCTTCCATCGGGGATATTATGTAGGATTCATAAGATCCTTCACTTTTTATACTGGTTAGAAGTTATGAATTCTGTCATTCTACTAATATTATATACCTATTGCTCGTGCACGCCAAAACTACTGAAGAGATTAGACGAAATTTTATAGATTTTAGTCTATACACGCACATTGCGTAAAAGCTTAGATACATAAAACTTACCCTGGCATTCCAAGAACGCCTAATCCTAGGGACACAGGATGTGACCCGAAATCGGGTAGGAGTGTTACAGGTATAAAGCCCGCCTGAGTATTAAAATCATCAGGCTTTACAATAGTATGAGTGCGCCACCCAAAGGATCCAGCTAAGTATTTCCCAACGGCATAGTTTTTGTTCCGGCTCGATACAATCCTTGAATAAAAACAACTTAGTTAAATGATTGTCCTATGAGTTTGCATAAAAAAAAATACTTATCGACAAGAAACCCACTTCGCAACTTGACCACCAATCATATCAGTAGGCAATTTATAGCCTATCATGTAAGCTCTCATGTAAGGGTCAACGCTTAGATATTCAGCCTCCGCCAGTACTTCTACAAAAAATATAAAACAGCGGTTAATCTGACAGCTTTCGTCTAAATCATCAAAAAAACTGACTGCAAGGTCAGAATAGTCGCTGCAGCGCAACGCGTCGTGGGTTCGGTTTCAGTGCAAAATATCGTTCCAAGACGTGGAGGTGACATGTAGGTAAATGTGAATTTGTATTTTTTAAGCCGTAATTTCAGTAATATAGTAATAAATCGGGACCCCGTGGTCCCGTGAAAGGAAAGAAGTGTAGATTAATAGTAAAGATAAACTACATACCCCCTTCTTTTAGTTCCGGAAGTTCTTCTTCGACAATTTTAAAATCAGTTTTCTTTGGCTCACCCTGAAAATACTTTGTCAGCACATATTTTTGTGCTTTCACTTTTCCGGTAGCTGCTGAATACATCCGTTTGGCAAAAGTACTCGTCGGAATCATTTTTTGGAACATGATGCTGATTATTATAATTCCAAAAACTGAAAAAAGGGTTTTGCCGATTATAAAATTATTTCACAAAAAATTATAATATTGATTATTTAGATTCACTCAATTCTTCAATTAAAACTATTCGAGACTCCATACCTACTATTGGGTAAGTACCTACCAAATTACCATATTTTACCATATTTGGAAATCAAACTAACTTCTAACTTTGTAGGCACTCAAATTATTTGACCTGCATAGTTAACCACAATAAATAAATAAATAACTTGTCTATACACAAACACATATTTATGTAGGTATATACATAATGAGCATGACTTATGCTAATAATCAAATAAACATATACTACTAATAATAATATACTACCTATTAGTTCAACTTCCGTTCGGATTAAAGTATTTTGTGTAATGCTGAAATATTTTCAGTTCATTTTATTTTTATATATATTTTTTTAACACATTTTTAGGATATTATGCAAAAGTATCGTATGCAGTTTGATTTACTTAGTACGTACCATAGACAAAACTCGATCTACTAATCGACTAAGAAAATTGTAAAATATCGATAATCGATAAAAAACTGTTATGTCGAAACCCTAGTTTACTACGATACGCGAGTGAGATAGAATAGCAATGAATCACTGACCTCTATAATATCGCTGGACTGGCTATTGCTATCAACTTTTTGTGCCTATTTGAAAATCGCCATTTTGGCGCTGACGGCAGAAGTGAGGGGGAATGGAACTAATACTAGTAATGTACGACAAATGGTTTGATATCGATAAAAACTTTACTGATATCGACAACAATTACAAAAATATTACCGACGATATTTTTGATATGAAATTGGCATAGGTAAATTTTATTAACACGATTTAATATAATTATATAAATATAATTAATTTTATTATTGTTACACGCACGTAAGACATATAGGTACATAAGATATATTTAAAAAATATGATTTGTAACATAAAATACGTTCAGACTTAACTATCTCACAACACCATCTAGTCCCAAGTTAAGCAGAGCTTGTGTTATAGGTATTAGACAGCTGAATGGGAATCGAACCCATGACCTGCGGCATAGCAGACTGAGCCACCTACTACGAGACCAACAAACTTGTCTGTAATAGTAGTATTTACTACTTTCTGGACTGTAATCAGTAGGTATCACGTGTGCGGTTGACCCGTTCTTTCACTTCATTGTTCTTCTTGATTGGATAAAACTTCACTATTGGATCAATAAATCTCTGTAAAATAATTATATATCCTTAATAAAAAATTTATTATGCACTCTTTATGGAAAGGAATAAACTTGTTACTAGTTAGATATCCCATATCGCCATGTGGTACAAGACATAAACCTGTAATTAGGTACGGTAATTGACTTCTAACAGCTTAACTACTGTAAGGGAAGGGGACAGGGAAATTAAAAAAGCTATTTTTAAATCACATATTTTATTATTTAAAAAAATATCGTCGAGCCTATTTTATTTGCCGGGTCAAAAAATGTCTTACTTTCTCTCCAGTTACTAATAAAGAGTATTTTTTTGTTTCTGCGTACAAACGGATGTCAATAATTTGGTTATTATTTCTTATACAAGAACATTTAGGTAACTATGAACATTGTCTGAGACATAACTGTCTCTCAGGTGATCTTTTAGATCAGGAAACAGTTCATTGGTTTTGCAGTACCTTTGCAGTAAGTACTGCAGAAAAATTAGGCTCGATAGGTGGCTTATTGTTATTATAATTAAGTGCTTGTCGGAATAATGATTCCACCATAAAACAAATGTTTACAACACCCACAGAGGGCCTAGTCAAACCACCTGTTTGCTTTTGGATAATAAGTGCTACCCCACTTCTCCTATTTGACACTGCATCTTGTGGTAGAGTTTCACAGGCCATTAAACAGTCATCGCATTTTTTTTTCATGTCGATAGAATTGTAAATATCATTTGATCGAAAATGTAAAGTAATGGCAAATGATCTTAATTCTGGAGCATACTTAGAACGTTTCACATTTTTGGTAATTCTTTTAAAAAGTTATGTTTTGAAACCATCATACTGATTTAACATATAAACACAATCATCACATACCAGTTTCTTTTTTTTTAAATCAGCAATTACAGATTTTAAAGTAGACACGGTTAATTTCATACGTTTCATATTTTGTGACAATACTTTAATTCGAGCTTGTGACATTTTCAAAGCTATTTTGACCCTTTCCAATTTATTTTTTGAAGATTGTGGGGTGTTCACGTAGCGGTGATCTAATTTGACACTAGAAATTATTTCCGCTAAAGTTCTAGATTCAGTTGGTGTGCTACAGTAGCTTGTGTTGTAACTTGTGCTTGGAACTGTAACAAGAAATTATATTTCATTATTTATATTATTCAAAGAAAGATAATAATTAGATAGTGAAAATATGTTTCAAAATATTGGAAAAGTTATGTCATTATCGTCATTTGAACCGAAAGGTGTCCACTGGACATAGGCCTCCCCTAAGTCTACCAAATTTTCTGTTGACTGCAAGTACCCTCTTAAAAATTGTTTAGTATTTACCCACTGTTAGTTGCAAACTTAGTACTTCAGCAAGCCATGCTCAGTATTTATAAAATTTACTAAAATAACTTACCTGCAAGGGCTTCACATGGCAACATTTTTTTTTGATGGACTTCATCATTTAGTAACCCAACTTGTACAGGTCCTGAAGGTGAATTAAATTCATCCAAGCTCATTTCAATGTCTTTCTTGCATTGGTATCCTGTTGGTTGATCAGCCTCTTTAGACATCTCAGTTTGTAACAAGGATGAATTGGTTTCTGTAAAAAATTTGTTATTTTATTACAAATCAACAATATTTTTTAGATACCGATAAAGTATTTACATAACTACTACAAATTTACACTTGCCAAAAATATTGTGGGGATACTGCATTTTTTCAATGTAGTCCGTGACTGATGTTTTGTGAAACAGTCATCCATGAAGTGTTTAGAACAGAGATAATTATACATTTTTGGAGTCCAATTGACAACCTTCATATTTTTTAACCAAAGTTTCAGAGAGTCATCAGAGGGGAATCTGTAATTAAAAGAAATATTATAGTAGGTATATAAATTTATGTTTGTTAGATAACTCAATAAAATTATTAATCATAAATGTTAAATTATTTGTTATTGACTCTGATAATTAAAAACCTTGAAGTGTTTTGCTATTTTAAGAGATCATTATATTGTGCATATTATTATTTTACAATGAAGGTAAATATTATTATTCAATTCAATTCTTATTCAGGCCTTTGTGGAAAACACCACAATTTTGTCAATAATACTTGTAAATTGTATAATAAACCATCAAAAGCTGTGTAGTATTTGACGCAAATGAATATTAAAAATATTAAAAATTTTAATTATGAATAAAATAAAACATAGCATTGCTGTTCTTATTACTCCATATGAAAGTATCGATATGAACTTTCACATCCCTATCAAAAGTTATTGGTTATAAAAATGTTCGTAAAATCCCATAAACTCGAACTGTTTGCGTTTATTATTGAAAGAATACACTGTTATAAGCGTTTCCTACTAAGTATTTATATTTTAGATTCACTTACTTGTGAAAAGTGACGCCACTGCTCTTTTCGTATCGTGTTTTACAATATACGCACGATTTCATGTTGGTCCAATAATAGAAGCTATGATACAATAACTGTCACTATTATAGCACTTAATTTATGTCACAATCGCAGTAAATACTTTAAAAAACGTAAAGATACTTCGCATTTAAACAACAAACAACGGCCATTTGCAATTTAATTAGTTCTCAGTACTCTCACCGGGGCGCTTTGAATCGGCACAGAAAATAGCTGTCATTTTGTTAGGGATAGCCAGTCCAGCGTTTATTATAGAGGTCAGTGCAATGAATGAATGAAATAAATAAATACAAAATGGCCTACTTTTTGTTTGGGTAGAGCAATACGTTTAATGAAAATATAAAATGATAAAATTTATATCATTATTTAACACCTGTGGTATAATAGTACATGAAATAAGGTTAATACTGTTTAAAATCAGTGTTGTGCGTGTATCTAAAGTTGTCATATAGATAGTAAAATAAGAAAAATGACAAATTGATTTAAGTATTATTATTGTACTTTGGCTGCAGAATTAGTTTCAGTGAAAACCATGAATACAAAGAAGGAATTTAATTGTGTATTTTGTAAAGATACTTTCGACAATAAGGAAGATTTACAAGAACATTTCAGGTAACCTAATTTTCTGTTACAAAAATGATACATATCGTGCTGTTTTAAAAGAATTAATAAACTGGATTTTATATTTAGGAAACACGGTGACCCACAATATAAAAAGCGTTTTGAAATATCTACACAAGGGACTGATCAGAAATCTAAAGAGAAGGCAGAGTTAGTTACCTGTGACGTGTGTTCTCAAGTGTTTCCTACGATATCCAAGGCTATAACTCACAAACACAAGGTGCACCCGGATCACGATGCAAAGTACTTTTGTCCCTGGTGCGGGAAACTCTTCACATTGAAGGTAATGCCGTGTATTGAGAGCCGGCGTCGCTTGCGTGTTTGCTCTATTTGCAGGTCGACCTGTGCCCCCTCCCCACCACACGTATTTGCTTATCTTTTTATCAATTTGACAGTTGTTTATTGTAACTATTATCATTCACCATGTAAACATGATATGCAAAAATTTGGGTAGTGTTTATAAATGACCTAAGAGTAGAGCAATACATGCAGGTATAAGCCCATGATGTGAGCTGGATAGTAGGCTTTTAGCTTGCAGTTAACACATGTATTCAGTATGCTATTGAAATATTCATCTTAACCCAAACTTTATTTTTTATTTTACTTGTACCAACATGTACTAATGTTATGAAATGTGTTAAATTTTACAGCATTTATACAATGTCCATGTTCGATCAACACATGGAGCTGAAGAGGAAAGCACCGAGGACAAACGTTTTCATTGTGATTGCTGCAATGTAGATTTCTTCATTGCCTCTGCTATGCTAAACCATAATAAATTCTTTCATCGGCAAGACACAGACCTGCCAGACATTGGCCAATCAAAGAAAATTAAAACCTACTCTCAGGTAATGTGAACCATTAAAATAGAAATATGTTTCAAAATTTTTTAGTCGACAAAAAAACTATTCATGTTTGTCATAACTTTCAGGTCATCATTTCAATATACTACTGTCCTTTCTGTGGAGAGGAGTATGAAAATAAAGTAAATCTATTTGTAAGTATACTTGTATTTATTATTACTATACAATACTATACATTACTTGTTTCAAAATACTTAAGAAAGAACGAAGAAAGAACCATTAGAAATACTGTTTTGATTAACCTTTGGCATGGCAATCTCTTTTTGGTATGCTCACTACCTAGTTATGTACATGAAGCGAAGGGGAAAATCTTGAATCTGTATGTAACCATATTAAATTTGAGTCATGCCAGGCGAGGAATGGGTGTTTGTTTTGCTGTATGAGTGAGGTTACCAGAGGCATTCATCTTCAAACCCCTTACCATATACAAACTGCTGGCAACAAACTTCAAGTCCATTGGTGGGTTGTCTATGGTCCGCCGGTTACGCCGATTATTCACTATCTGGTGATCAATCTGCTCATTTGCGCATTTCATATTAAATAAAAATGGTTAAAAATAATGTATAAACTACACCCTTTTAGATCTGGAAGTAAATGCGTATGTAAGTCAACCAGACTTCATATATTATATTTACCTATAGTATTACAAAGTATTACAAAGTTTGTTTGAGATTTGCTAAAAAAATGGTCAAAAAAGGTATATTTAAAAAAAAATTAAATGTGAAAATAATTTATTTTTGACCTAGGAAACTACTCAATTGGTTACAGAAACACATGACAGAGGACCATGGAGATGAAAACCAGAGTCCAGATGAAGTGTTAAAATGTCCAGTGTGTGAAGCAGTGTTTTACCACCTGGATGCATATGAAATACACCTCACATTTCATACTACCGAGGACATGTATAGCATTAATAATCCTGCGTAAGTACACAACTATTTTATTCTTTATCATCATTTCTTTCTGGGCGAAAAATATTTTTTTTAGTAAGCCACTTGTCCTGGGATTCGATTCCTTCACGGAACATCTGTTTGTGTGATCCACAAGTTGTTGTTCCAGGTTTAGGTGTGATATTTATGGGAGTTTGTATGTTTATAAACACAGCCACGACCAACGAGAAAGCCCTAGCAAGGCAATATCTAAAAGTAATATCTCCTAAGTATAGATGTTTTGTGTATATTTTTATTTGAATAAATTTTGTACATTAAACACAACTTACAACTCAAAATTTCCTTTTACCTTACTTGTTTTGCCTGCCTCGCTATTCAAGTAGCCGCTAGTACAACTGCTGGACACGAGGTCTCGGTTTCAATTGCCAGATCCCTTTTTGAAAACTTCTCAGTGATAGTAACGATTACCGAAACCCTGCCCGATGGGGTAGCCATCGGCCAGAGTTTACTAGGTTATAAATGCTGTTAGAATTATTATACCAAACACGTTATCTTGATTTCTGTCTCCAGATTGTGCGAAAGTGAATTTTTCGATTCCCAAAATCCCCTCAACTACAATAGTACAAACAGAAATAATAACAAGTGATTGTACTCTATGGCATGTTTACTTGAAGAATTGTTTTTTATTTGAAAAATTGATTTTATATTACAGGTTTACTGAATTACTGGATTTTTCCCTGGAAACAGTTCCACCTATAATAGAAAAGGTGGAAAACGCAGATGAAATTGATAACCCACAAACAGATGCTGAATCAACTATGAATGCTGTTGGAATTGTAAGTATTTGATTTAATTAGAACACACATATATAAACACAGCCAAATGTTTGAAAGTGCAAGCAAAAATTTCTTCACCCAATGAAGAAATGATGAATTAATCCTAAATGTAGCAATGTTAATATTCCAGGAAAAGTTCCTAGAACTAGCGATAGACCATGCAGAGGAAGAAGATACTGGTCCTGTTAAACCTAAGAAGCATAAAAAACATAAAAAGTCAAAGAAATCAGCGATTACGCTCGATGAGTTTCTTAGTATGAACCAAGACGTATTTGGTGAAGATCTCGACTTTCAGGGAATAGAAGAAGTGCCAACACGCGTAGTTAAGAAACAACTCAAAAATAATATGAATGTGTCAAACAGTGCAACCACCTCCGCTGAGCTAGACAAATTAAAAAAGGCAGGTATTGTCGTCAAACGAAAGGTGAATCTAAATCAAATCAATCAATCAATCAAAAAAATTAAGCTCCCTACGTCCACACCCAGCAAAACAACTGTAAGTAAACCCGTTCCTAAGTCAAATCAAATAAGAGAAATAGAAACTTCAAGTGAAGTTTTAAATAAACTAATTAATCAAAGTAACAATCAGATAAAAATAGTAAAAAAGGTTAATCCTAATGCAGTTTCCATAGAACCTAAAGAAACAATAAAAGATACAGTGGAGGAGACAGAAACATCTGAAGAAGATGCCAACAAAATGGTCTCGAATGACACTGAGATAAACTCTACTCAAACAGATACTGATAGTATTAAAGAAACTACAAACATAGAAGAACCACCAATAAGTGCAGGAGATACACAGTATGAAGAAAATAAACTAAGCGAAAGTAATACTGATACCGAATTAGATAATGAGACTAATAAAAGTGTCGTGCCAGATAGTAATAAAAGACCTCAAGAATTATCTGATGCCAAGATCGATCATTCCCCAAAATCAACTAACAATATAACTACAAAAGATAATGAAAAGACATATGAGCCAGATCATCAAGAAATTGAAAATTATTCTGAACATTCTGAAACAGAATTTGATGATGCAGACCATGCATCAGATCTTGACAGTCACATAGAGGATGACAAAGCCTTAGATGATAACAAAACAAACAATAAATATAACACCACATTAAGTGCATCAGCTAATTCCTTATCAACTTTAAAACGTTTAAGTCATCTAATAACTGTAAAACCTGTCGGTCAAAATAAAAATAACACATTAACTGAATCCAAGACTGACAAAATTCCTGAAACAATTAATGATACTGAAAATCCTAATAAAAAGGAAGATTCTTCTTTGCCAGTTGATAAAGTACATGTTACTAAATCAAAAACTGTTGATAAAGATCCTACTTTAGACGCCTTAAAAACCCTGAGCAAAAACATTACTATCAAGTCTATGTCAACAAAAAGAAATATATGTGAATCTAACAATGACGAAATTGACGAAAATGATCAAAAAACAAGTGGGTTACAATTACAAAATACAAGTTCCAATAAAAATATTACTATTAAAAAAACCAAATTAGAAACGAATGAAACTAAACCTGTAGTCAACCATCAAGAAAGAAGATATGTACTAGGACAACACATCTCAAAATCTCCAACTGAACAGATTTCAAAAACTAAAATTGAAAAGGATAACAACATATTGCCGAACTCGAATGCTCATATTTTAAAAAGACTACCAAATATAAATATTACAACGAAACCTGTTATAAATAAAAGTAAATGTTTGCCTGCTAATGTCAAACCAACTAACGTTCCTAAAAAAGTTGTTGAACCTCAAAAACCAGAAGAAATAATAGAAATTTTTGACATAGACGACTCTGAAGATGAACAAGAAATTAGTAGAAATCCGCCACAACTTAATCAAAAAACCCCAGGTCCATCAAAGTCAATAGACGCGTTGAAGAATTTAAGTAAAAATATAACCGTCAAATCTGTGAATCAAGCGCCATATAATAGGAGTAGTAGAATTGAAAATAATAATAAGATTGAAAAAGAAGACACCAGTAGTCAACAATTTAAAGATGAATCAAACAATGAAAGCAACTTCAATATGCAAAACAAAAATGTGGCAGTTAAAAACATTTTACAGGGTATTAGTAAAAACATTACAATTAAATCTCGAAATACTTCACCAAGTCAGTTTACGCAATCCCAAGAAAATTCTCAAGATTCTAAAGAAATGGAAGACGATTACGCTAGTGATTTAGATTCTAATCCAGGCAAAATTCAAATAACAGAAATTGATGAAGACATGGAACTGGATAACTGTGATGAAGAACATTCTGAAAATATCGAAGAACCTAATGAGACTGTTAACAATCCGATTATTGAATCACCAAAAGAATCGTGTAGCGAAAATGAAGATGATGACATACATGACTTTGAACAAGACATTAGAGTCAACACAGTGCAAAGAAGTCAGCAAACTATAAATTCGACAGTTAATTCTGTTTGCTTAAATAATTTAAAGAGTATAAATAAAAATTTAACAATAAAATCTATAAACAAATCGTCAATAGGTAACGACGACGACAGTAAAACACATATTCATTCACAGGATAGTCAAGAAACAATTAATGTACAGAAAAAACAAGTACCAACTAAATCTAATCAAGTTGTGAAAGAAATTGAGAACGACAATGTCGCTATTAATAGAGTTTCTAAGAACGACAATAGTTCAGCTTTTTTGAAGAAGGTATCTTCGATGAATACTGTCAACAAAGAAGTTACTGTAAAAACAATTCAAACGAAGACCATGATACAAGAAATAACCACGACCGTCACTAAAACTATAAAGACGGTAAACCAAACAATGAAACAAGAAATTCGGAACTCCGTTCAAACAAATACTCCGACGCAGCGGATACAGGGAATGAGACCAGTAGGCCCGAAAAACCTTCAAGGTGTTGTCATAAGACACGCAAATCCTGTTGCTAAAACTAGCAATACCGTATCAAAAATCAGACCATGTAATGCCATAAGGAATTCTAATCAAAATGTTGCTATTAGGAGCCCTACTCCTATAAATATAGCAAGACCCAACAATCCTAGAATGATGATAGGCAAAAAAGTAACAACCTCTCCTAGCCCACACAAAGCGAATATTGTAAGACCGTCATCTCCTAGCTCAAACAAACCAGTTATTGGGAGACCTTTAAAGATTTCACCATCAGCTGTTATAAAGAGGCCAATTGCTGAAGAAGTGAATGGGCCTTTCAGTTGTTTCAAAAAGCCCAAAGAATCATTAATACCTGTGTCTGATATACCAGCGTTCAATAACAGCAGTAGAGATGGCACCGTCCAGTACACCTCAGCTTCGCAATCCAGTAGCTCTAATTTTACTAGTTCTACGAAGTTAGTTAAAGGCAATAATTCTGTAGTGACGGCAAAACAAATCAAATCGGAAGTAAACTCGAGTTCCCAACAGATAACTAGGCTTAGTAATGTGAGTGGATTAAAAATAACAACTAGTCAGCAAAGACAATCACAAGTGCAAGAAAATAGTGAATCTAGTGGTATGAAACGGACTACTTTAGAAGCAATACAAAGGTTACAGAAACAAGGTCTCTTGGTTAAGAAACCTCGCGTTGACCCCGAGGGGCCTGACGCTTCCGATCACGACAGTGATCAACATGTAGAACACAGTTCGGCAGATGAACAGGATGAATGAATAGATGACAAGTGTGTAAATATTAATTAAACGTTGACTGATTCAATTAGACATACTAAAATTACAGCACAAGAGATCTAGCCAAGTAAAGGAATTTTGTAATTTCTATGATTTTCGTTTATGTCGCTGTTCATACAAACTATATAATGTATTTATTTTGTTATAAAACTAAACATTAAATGTGTTGTAAATATGAATATAACTATGTAAGGTTAATACGAATGACTTTTCTTATAAATACCTCTCAATAGAATGTATTTTATTCACACACCAACTAAGCTGGAACTTTATGCGTAGTCTGGCTTTTTTTTTTTTTTGTCAGGGGAAAATCATCCAATGACTTCTCCCGCCCAGGGTAAGGCGAGAGAGAGTGTCAGACTCTTACTGACTAAAAACCCCCCCGTTCCTTCTCCTGCTCTGGGCCGAGGTCGCGGTGCCTCATTGCGCTTACCCCGCAGCCCCGGCTAAACATCAGCCCTTTAGGGCCCCGACTGTGGTGGTCTATTGGCTCTTTGAGGCGCGCGCGGAACGCTACGCGCCGTACGCTCGGGTCCAGTTCTGGTCGGGCGGCGAGCTACCCTTACTCGCCGTCCGCAGACCCGCGCTTACGGTGGCCGGAGATCATCCCTCGATCCCCGACGTCCGGAATGTCGCCTTCTGCGGCGGCTGGGGCGCGAGGAGGATAGTTCCCTCACGCGCTCCGCCTCCTCCTTTGCGAGCATTACTGCTTCGCAGAAGGAGGAGATAGCTTCCCAGTTCCTCTCACGCTGCACCATGGCCTCGATTAAGGCCGGGCGCGAGAGGTCGCTGCCGCCGATCACTTCCCTATAAGGGTTTTAAAAACAGCCACTCAGACAGCGATAGTACCCCACTCTCCCCCGTGAAGGGAAGCGAACGATCATCGAGGGCTGATGGTAGGTCTACCACCGCCCGCCTCACGCTCAGGGCACCGCGCCACATCTCATCAACGTGACTGGTGAGGACTCACATAGTGTGAAAGTCTCGAGAAGAGCTTACTATAGAAATGATCCTATGAAGTAAGGTCTTCATGCGTAGTCTGGCTAACGAGTGAGCATGAACATTTTTGCATAGACAAAATCAAACAATAGGGTAGTTTCCTACTAGTCAAATTCAATAATATTGTAATGAAACCTCATAACTTATATGCGTCAAATAGCATACTTATTTCTCTTTTATTCGTTGAAAAAATACGAAAAGATCATCAAATCAATGAATTATTATGAAAAGTTATAAGTCAATTATTTTTTGACTGAGGAAACTACCCAATGAAAATTCAAATCCATTATTTATGATTTAATGGTAGATCCCACACCGATTTTGGTTAAAAAAAAGCCACAAGAGTTATTAAATAACTATATTATTATTTACAATAGAGAAATAACGCCGTTATACAGTTTTGAATACAATGAATTATGAAAATATAAATTGTCCACCAATCTGATCAATACATTCGTTAGTAAATCACATTAAAATATAGGCCAGATAAAGTTATTCTGATTTCGTTTCCACTTTATTCTGTCGCCATTTTTGTTCCTGTAATTGACAAATATAAATTTTCAATTCAAATACTATTCATACGAATACATTTGATAAACAAAAATTAAATAAGGCTACAACACACATTACATGCAACCAAGCTTAGAGAAAAAAATAAAAGTTGTGTTATTTTCAAATATTCGGTTAGGAATTTATTCTTCTCTAAGCTACATTGAGACGTTAGCACACTGAAGATATTTACTCTAATTAAACATACTATATAATCGACAGTGTCCTAACGTCTTTCCCAGGCGCAACTGAAACCCAATTCCAATAGCGCCCCATCATACAACACTACGATACGACACAACATACATTCAAACAATACAATAAACATACTACAGTAAACCAAACTAATTGCCCGAATACAACGTAACACATATTTACATATATATATTTAGCATAGATAAATATTTATACTGATTTTTTATTGTTAAGTGTCCAGTATATTTATTTATCCGTGTCGATAACACTCGCTCAAAACGTCACTTACCGACACCGTACGCTTACTGCGAACATGGACATTTCAAGTTCTTGAAACTATTCGAATCCTGACAACCATTTGCGAAAAAGCAACGTATAAATAAAATAGTTTAAATTATTAAAAGAATCCCTTTATCTTTTTTTACATTGTTTAATAAATTGAGTATTTTTTACAAGGAATATTATTCTATCTGGTACTTTTGAGCTCATGGTAAACAAAAACAGACGAATTTGCAAAACGGACGTACATAACTGACAAACAAACTCCACCTGCATCCTCCTCACTCGTCAAGCTCCCACTATGAGACCATCACTCGCTATTTACAACCCAGAAGTTACCTTCGAAATAGTATTCATCGTGTGACTCGTAAGATAATACAAGTGATTACCTCAGAGTGGGAAGATCAAAGTACGCTAATAAGTGATACATCATGCACGTACCAACACGGCGAGCTCATTGGATAGACGGTAGGCAATTGCACGTAATTTGTACCGTAGCTTCAAGCCCCCTTGCAATTTCTTGTGCAAGGTCTGGAGTATTGTATACATGTTGAGACAGTGCAATGTAAGAAAGAAAGCCGCCAGGTAAGATATCTGTCGAATGGTGCAAACAAAAGTACACATAAAATAAATTTGAAAATGCAAATATAGCTGAAAAACAAATTTATTCATCAATGCATTCAAATAAATAACATCCATTACAAATAAGAGCTAAAAACAACCATTATAAATTAATCGAATATACAAAGCATAAGTACAACATTATCACTAAATTACGAATAGTTGATTGTTTGATCAAGGCACGAAATATTCACTCTGTTGTGTACATAAAGTCTGTAGAAGTATGCCACTTATAATCTGGCTTCATAAAACTCGTTATCTACCTACAATTCCTGCATTACGTACTATTTATTATTGCTGTATATAGGTGTTTCACAACAGTGATAACATGTTAGGTGTTCGAGTAGGTGCCTCCGGGCTACCGAGCCAGCTGTATCCAACAGTTAATTAGTCATTTAAAAATGTGACTAGACCAATCAACAGTTTGATAACACACTAATATTATAATAACCATTATTTATTACTTTATTATTGCAGGACGGCTCGTCTAATAAATTATCTATATCTAGATTTACTTTTCCAGCTTATAATTACGTCCATAATTTATATTTCAAATTCTTAGTTGTCTAAACACTGGTAAAAATCATTTGGATAAAAGTGTGATGTCATTGGCAATATGTATGCATGGAAACTTAATAAAAATATACCCAAACATCACAATAAATTTATCTAAAATGAACTATTTGTGCCTTTTACAAGATACAATAACTAAAAAAATCACATAATTTAAGCTCAGATCCGTTTAAATACATAAAAAGCTGTTACAAATGAATAGAAAGATATTTTAACTACTAATTGCCTCCTTTTAACGTTTCCAAAGTATTCATATAAAATGCGGTTTCAATTATCACTTTATTTCCAAAAAATGCAATCACAATAAAAACTATAATTAAGCTACAGATAAATTTTACCCTACTACGTGAGCAGACAAAAATAATCACACATGCAATAAATAAAGTCATGCAAATGCTATCATCATTGCTTTTAAATCGTTGTTCAGTTGAAAAATTAAACAAAAATATTACTCCTTCATGGAATTGCACAAGTAAACATACTTTAAAAGGCTATAAAGTCGTATCAGTGTACCTATTGATATAAACTATTATCAAATCGATTTCATTTTAACTTTTTCTTTACAATCATATCATTGTTGTACTATTATAAAGTTACCAAAGCAATAACTAAAGTTTAAAAAAGCAAAATTAGCGATTTATGTGCTCTAAAACCTGCGAAGCTGATGATAAAAAAAACTACATAACTACTGATAATAAAATGCACAACTTTGATGTTTATAAACAAAATACAGACTTAAAAGCACAACTGAAATACATTTTTGGCACAAAATTTGTTCATAAACATAAAATATACATACTTAAATGATTTGTAATAAACGCAAATTAAACTATTTAATATTATGTATATACAATACATAAATATGTACAGATAAAATGCTCTTATGCACAATAATTTAATACATAGGTATTTATATTGAGAAAATATAATGAATCCATTCAACAGACTCCGTTTAGAGAAGGTAGGCATAAAATGAAGTCCTTTTAATTACTGAAAATAGAAAAGTACACATAATAAATAATATAACTTGACATAATATACATATATTCATAGTTTTGTTAAAGTGTTAGATAAGGGAAATGAGAAAAGAAAATATATTAGTAGACTGTTAAAAACTATAATAATATGCTATTGTTCTGTGCGAGTGATAGATCAGGCGATCTATCTGGTCATAAATAATGCATTATTAAAGTATCATGACTGGTCGCGCACCTAGTACACTTATATATAGCATAGAATTTAAAAGAGATTCGAAATGTTCATATTTGAGTCATTTCATATGAAAATAGAAAAAATAAAATATACAATCTATTTCTACAGTCTATGTTGGAACAAATTGGTCCTCGGGTCCAAACATACAACACGGATGCATTCGAATTCGTTTCGATTCTACTTATAGTTCTGATAAAGAGGATTTACTGTCATAGTTGAGAACAATCACACTGTAAGTGTTTACTGTGTTAAAACCGTACTTGACAGCACTATTTAACTAAAATTTATTACAAGGTGCAGGTGACAGGGATTTGAATCCCACCTACAGTTCTTAACGTCATCAGAAATTTATCAGAACTATAATCTGTATTTGCTTTCAGACAAACATTCGTATTATAAAGGTAAAAACGACATTATTATTATTAAGAGGGCGTTTATAAATTACGTGCGGTGTTTTTTTTTCAGTACCTCTCGTCTCCTTAGTGGGATATGAGATTATGTTCAACCTCCTCCCCAATCCCCCAATCACACGTGAAATTTTGCAGAACGTGATTTTCTTACATAAACGTTTGCTTCGTACTTTTATTTACGACTTGTAAAGACTAGTAATCAACGTTGCCGAGAGTTATAAAATTAAATGTAATAAAACATTAACAACAGATAACAAATTTTTTTTTTTTAATGTGAAATTAGATGAATTTTGCCATTCTCCCTCCCCCCTTGTATTCATCTCACGTAATTTATGGAACCCCTTAAATCATTAAACTTTAAAAATGTACGATGGTCAAAATAGATTTTTAGAAAATAGATTTAAATTAAATGTTGTCTAAAAGCGTACAAACGGATCAAGCATTTGGTAAATTGGTCCTTGAGATCAGATAGAAACTAGGACTTAAGTAACTATCCAAATACCGTCCGCAATATAAAATTATCTATTTCATAACATTTAAACAGAAGACGTCGCGTATTTGCAGAAAGATATCGGTAAGTGCTAAATAGACGACATTAGTGTTGAAATTCACTATGTTGTGTGCCTATAAGTACAATCAGCGACAAAAATAGATGAAATAAATAATCAAAATGATGTTATGACTGACGTTTTTTAATATATCCTGAGACATAGGTAATTAATTTATTGAAAGTAACGACTTACTTAATTGGAAAGCTTGAAACTAAACTCTTTCATTTAAAGCTCAACTAGTTTCAAGCCATAACGGGACTCTTAGATATCTATGAGCAGAGTAGGCATCGCGCTGTGAGTTGAAACTAGTAAAGCTTTTCTCAGTCATAATTAAGTCGTTATTTTCTAATAAAAGAATAGTTTTAATGATTAAAATAAATAATCATCTTGGAATTATTTCATCTGGCATGACAACTGCGTGTTCAGTCACACAAATTATAAACGTTTTTGTCGCTGAACGTAATGCTCGTCAAAAGTGACAGTTTTTTTTTATGAAACGACGTGCTTCTGTGTACACGCTATTAGGTCTACATTCTACGTCACTACATCACACAGCGTGCGGAGCGCGTCACAGACGCGTTGCGAAGTCCAATCGTTTCAGTTCCACTGTACCTGCTCGTTCAATTTCTGAGGGATCACGATGAGTGTCGTCGCGCAGTTTCCGATGCCAATCGTCAGGAATGATAAACTTAATGCTGGTATCTGTTGTCGGTTTGTTATAGGACATTTTATATTTTGTTACATCAAATACTTTCAGAGCAAACAGTAATACATCAGACTACAAATATTGATAGATATTTCATTACAGTAATAGATAAATCACAGATTGGATAATGCTCATAAAATGTTATGTCATTTTAGATATATGAACCTAAATTCAATAAAAAATACATAAGTATTTAGTGCCAATACCAAAAATTTATAGATTTTTGACAAATGCAATTCAGACTCAAATACGTAATTCCTAAGCACAGTAACTATCAGAAGATACATACATCGGATTGAATTTAGCTAAATCATTGCTTCACACACCTACAAGACAAACTTGCATTTACCCGCGTTTTCGCCTTAACCTTTCTAAGGACTATCAAAGTGGCCTCTTATTTTCTTAAATAAATGCCATTGAACAAGCTTGCTTCGTTATTTTAGTATGGGTAAGTAAATAATCAAGTACATACCTGCCAAGTGGCTTCAGGGTGGTAACTGAGACTATACAGCGTGTAGGCAATGTACAGCTGGAACACATAGCCGCCGAACAAGAATGGCAATAGATAGGACAGTCCCCGCCACATCCATGAGTGGAATCCTTCTATCGTTATATCCATGTTATGCCTAGCTCCCAGGGCCTTTAACCTGTATAGAACTCCGCTTTGGTATCTGAACTGCATGTATTGGACTACACCTGTGGAAGAAAAATAATTGCTAGTTTATTTGATAGCATGCTGACAAGATCGCGTAGACTGAAATTTGTTGCGTTCTTGAAATCAGTACTCAGGTAAAGCAATAGGCTCGCTCCTAATAAAAATGAGACATTTAGCTAGCTAAAAGTGTGTGTAATTGTTTGTAGATAGGTAGGAAACCAGGCGAGATCTCATGCCTTTTTTTTCATATCAAATGACTTCTCCCGCCCATGATTAGGCGAGAGAGAGTGTCAGACTCTTACTGACTAAAAACCCCCCGTTCCTTCTCCTGCTCTGGGCCGAGGCCGCGGTGAGTCATTGCGCTTAACCCGCAACCCCGGCTGAGATCTCATGCCTTGTGTCACCAAACTCCACTACTGATATAGTGTTTATTAACCAAAATTTGCGGTAATCCATAAATTACATGTGAATGAGTACGTGAATTCTTATAAACGTACAATACAAAGTCTTAAAAAAAACAATTTATTAGCCGTCCCGACACAGAGGGGAAAACGTCACGTTGTTCACATTGAACACGCGACCTTTAATCTTAGTCATTTGACGACACAAACTCGAGATTTGCCACATATCATCATTATTTCGTCAAACAAATACAACGTTTAGGTAACCTTAGCTCTCGTCAAGCCATTGTCAATAGGGTGCAATTTTGTTTGTATTTTGAGTTTACCTACCTGCATACAAATTAAGGCAACAATAATGTATAATGATCGACAATGGCAAGTTATTCTACTTAGCCTTAGAAGCGGGTTCAATGCATGAGGTCGCTTACTTTGCCTTAAGTTCTAATAACTAGGACTAACTAAGCTAGCTTTTGAACATTAGCTGCTTCAAGGAAATATGTCAGGATAGTGCAACGTACGATTCGCAGCTGCACTCGTCAATTAAGTATCTAGTACTTAAACATATATGTACCTACTACTGTTGTCATGGTAATGTGTACCTAATACTCGTTATCTACGCTTCAAAAGATACGTAATCAGATGATATCACGATATACACAAATAATGTCCATAACTAATAAATAAGCTAATTTACAGAGTACAGTAAAACACTCATGAGTTTAATGACATATCAAAGATCGACGAAGGAAAGCAGATAAATGACTGAATTGGTAGGCGGCAGCTTGAATGCAATATGTATTACTTATTATACTTTTTTAACAAGTCAACCAAAGACCTTGCCTTTGCAAGAAAAAGATACTTTGCACCTTTGAATACTTAAAAAAAAATACTTACTGATATAAGCAATGAACCACATGAAAGTATGCCTGAAGAGGTTCCATGGTTCGTTCTGTGGCCAGATGAGGAGTATACCAGCGACCACGGTCGATATGAAATGGTGTAGCCGCCACCAGCCCTTGATACGAGAACCATTCACTTTGAGGATACTCTCGCGGATAGTCAGCGTACAGTAATACCATACCAACAGGAACAACAGTATTAATTGTAATGGCCTGAAAAAAAAAATTGTTTTAGCTAATTCCATAATAATATGGTTTCAACCGTTTTGGTCGGTCGGTCTTCCATTGGTCAAAGCGCAATTTTATAATGAGTCTTCAGTAAATCAAAAAGAACCAACACGAAAATATTTTTTCCATTCGCAAGTAAATAAAAAAAATGTGAAATCAGCATGTATTATATTATAATGAAACAATTCATCGATTTTCTCACTGGTCAAGAATCCAAAAAGAGTTCATTCCCGGGAGAACTAAATATTCTTAGAAATCTTATAAAAAAACCCGTAACCAAATATTATATAGTTTGTGGTTTGGCAAAGAATGGGTAGGTGCGTAAATACGAACTTTGAAATTAAAAACAATGTTATGTTATGAATCATTCTCTGAAGTGTAGTTTGGACCTTGAACTATGGTAATAAATAAGATATTCTGTTTACTACTCGGTTATTTACGTACTTAATAAAGATTACATTTTACCTGAAATCAATGTAAAGATTCGCAACGGCTAACACAAAGGCGATGGCACTGAGAATCAGCTTGAACTTTTCGTATTCATCCTTGTATTTGAATCTGTGGGCAAAAAGGTTCAAAAGTTATTTACACTTTTCTCACTGTATCTGTAGTGTTGGATTAAATATTTTTATATTCATTGTGTAAGTGTACATAATAGTATTAGGTTGGCGCTATATAGTGCCATCCAACATAACTAGAAGTGTCCTACAAGTAGGTATGAAGTTATGTATTTCGTCAGGTATTAGGTTTCTTTTTGTCTATTTGGTTTTTATACAATAAAATTAAAAGGCTTATTTTATTGTATTAAAACCAAACACGTACGGTCGAAATGAGAAAACGACTCTTTACAGAAATATAAAAAAAAATTAAAACCTGTTTGGTTTTAATTTTTTGTACTAATTTAGATATCTAATTTAGATATTTGTTTACTAAGAGTGAGCGGTATGTAGAGGACAGACAGACAGAAAAGTGCGGTACTTTAAATTCTTAACGTTCATGAAGTTTTCTCATTAGCAAATTGTATTATCATTAGGAAGGAGTTTCTCGACAATTAGCCTTGTGACCTTCACCCAAGGTTGGCTATGATAGACTATTAATAGTTAACCAAATAAATACCTAATTATCTGCAATTTTACGTTGTGTTGTTTTGAATTTAGAAAGTAAAATTAAGCTTATGAATCTAATATATAAAAAATGAAATGCTGTTCGTTAATCTTACTAAATCTCGACAACTACTGGTCTGATGGCTAATTTTGGTCTAGAAATTAATAGTGGAAGTCCAGGGAAGGTTGAAAAGGTCAAAAAACCGTTAATTTTGAGGCGGAATAAAATTTAGGTCATTTTCGTTAGGGTGAGCTAATCAGTAATAAGAATATTGTATCTATCTATAGATATACCTTTAGTCTCGACCTATCGAAGTCATTCGATAAAAACGTAACATTTATATTTAATTTAGTTTTCCGTTCGAGTCGATTCGACCCTTCCCCTAAGGAAGTAGTTACATTACCTAATAGAACTACGTAATTGTTGTGTTGTTGTTATAGTCTGTTATCGATACGATCTTTCGCATTGGAATTGTGACGATTTAACTATGTATTAGATATATCACATAAATGTTTATAGGTAGGAATAATTTTTAAATTGATTGCACGGTCGACGCGGTGAATGAGTAACCAGCTGCCGTGCAGTGTCGCGAGTCGAAGCGTCAATTCGCGTAAGTAAAGAAAAACCCTTTGTGCGATCCAGAAAATGTTGTCTTGGGTCTAGGTGTTATGTTTTCATGAAATTGTATGTGTAAACGCCCTAACGACACAGGAGATGAATACCTAGTATTGGGCTTAGTTTTTTTATTTATAATCTGAACTAACAGTCAACTCGGTACCTGGGAGTAACATTTATAACATTATAATAACGAAAATATAGATAAAATTCAATTCCAATAATATACACTTTCATTACTTTTATTGCTTGACCTTGAAACCGTTTTAGAAGCAGATGGTTCAATGTGATAAGAGCAGACAATAACATTGATTGTTTGATGACGTCACAAAGCTAAATATTTAATGTACTATATTAAAATATAAAGAATATGTATAGAAACGAACCTAAATCTATACTAATATTAAAGAGGTAAAATTTGTAAGTTTGTATGTAGGGGGTAATCTTTGAAACGGCTGGTCGGATTGCCAAAATTCTTTCACTGATAAATAGCTACATTGTTCCTGGCTGCTAAAGGCTATAAAACATCACGCTTCGTTCATATGGAGCCGAGCAGCGGGTGAAACCGCAAAATTTTGTGAGATCTAAACTTCAGTCATTAATACTTTCGCGCGGATAAGTATAGTGCATAAATAATAAATAATGGGATACATGGGTATCCCTCTGTACTCCATAGTACAGATCACATTAAATTTTAACCGTTATCAAATAAAACATTTCCATTGCGGTAATTCGAGACACTATAGAAGAACAATAATAGCGCGAACACCAGCGTTCGCTAGGGATTTGATGAACTAATAGACTTACTTGTCATTTTTATTGAGAATAGAAACGTTAACGTTTCCTAGTATGATGCGCAAATACAGGCTGTTCTGTTTCGGCAGCGTCGCATTGATCTCGCGCAACATAGCTTTCCTCTTCATAATCTCCTTTTCCAAATTCGCAACGCGGTCATCCTTCGTGACTCCTTTCTTTTCTAACCTGTTTGAAAAAATAATAAAAAAAATGTAATGTTTAATGCAAAATTGTATGACAGGGGCACATACCACGAATCCGTGTAGAATTAAAAAAAAACTTGTTTGATACACTCAGTTTTAGTTTGTATAAATTGCTTACATTAAATTATTGTAACTTAAAACTATCAAGTTAGGGGTCACTGATAAGATTTGCAGGGCTATTAGTTGAGTTGCAATTGCAATTTTAATATGGGAATCTATACTAATATTATTAGCTGAACAGTTTGTTTGTTTGAACGCGCATATAGACAAAAACAAACACCAGGAAGGTGTGTGAACACATTAAAGTATATAAATAAAATAAAATAAAAATAAAAATAAAAAAGCCTTTTATCCCAGTTTAAAAAACAAAAAAAAATATTACATTTACAAACAAATTTTTACATTAATTTTATTAAGGAACCCCTGAGGTGAAGGCCTCCTCCAGAGACTGCCATTTTTCTCGATCTTTTGCTGTATCTAGCCAGCGTACTCCAGCCGCACGCAGGATGTCGTCCTCCCATCGTGCGTGCGGTCTTGCTCTTTTTCTTTTTCCTATCGGTCCTTTCCATGTTGTTATTAGTTTTGTCCATCTATTATCCTGCAACCTTGCTACATGTCCTGCCCACTTGAGTCTAAGTGCATATGAAACTGCGTCAATTGCTTTGGATTTTGATCTAATTTTTGAGTGATGAATTCTGTGTTGTTTTTTAATATTGAACATGCTGCGCTCCATTCCCCTTTGGCATGTGATAATTTTGTTTTTAACAGCAACACTATATTTCCATGTTTGACATGCATAGGTTAAGCATGGGAGCAGATTTGAATCCATTACTTTCTTTTTCAGTTCCACTGGGAGGTCGCTTTTGAATACTTCTTTTAGACTCCAGTATTTATTCCAAGTTTGTTTAACTCTCCGTTCTACCTCTAATAAATTACTTTTTTTAGCAAAAGAGATTGCTTTCCCAAGTATATGTATTCCTTGACGTATTCAAGAGATATGTTGTTGGCATTAATAGGTATTTGTGTACTGTTAGTCATAATTTTTGTTTTAGTCAAGTTCATTTCAAGACCCACTTGTATGCTTGCAAAGTGCAATGTAGTTATCATGTGTTGCAATTGGCTAGAGCATTCAGACACTATTACTATATCATCTGCAAATCTTAGGTGAGTAAAGTATTTTCCTTGTATATATATGCCACAGCCATTCCAATCCAGCTGTCCAAAAACGGTTTCCAACACAGAAATATATAGATCCTCTCTTTGTATCTATTTGTGGACCTAAAGTTTCTAATTTCACCTTGCTAGTACATTTTTCGTAGATGTTTTTTAAAACTTCAATATATTGTCTCTCTACGTTTTGTTTTCTTAGTGCGTCCCATATACTTGAGTGTGATACTGTATCGAATGCTTTTTGATAGTCGATAAAGGCAATATACAGAGATCTCTGCTGTTCTTGGTATTTTTCTATTAGGAGCTCTAAAGTATGTATGTGGTTGACGGTGGAGAATCCTTTTCGGAAGCCAGCTTGTTCGACTGGTTGGTGAAGTTGTATGGTAGGGCTTATTCTTTTTTCAATAATTGATGAAAACTAAAGTATATAACACATCTTAAACAATATAGTTTTATCATCCGAATTTATTCCGAAAAGATTCCCAAATAAATAAATAACAAATGTATTAGTTTGTTTATACAAGCCTCAATACCTCTGTAACGAAGTGTAAAGCGGTGTTGTACCTGAATACCTGATATACAGCAATAGGTTAAGTAAATATTAAATATACCAAAAACAAAAACAAATTCGAACAAAAATTATGGAACAAAGTAGGTGTAATGTCAACATTATATTAATTATTTCATGCACATGAAATGCAAAACATTTTTAATTTAAATTACTTATCAAGAAAGACATGCATTCGATCAACTGAAATTATCAAGTCATTCTTAGTTTATAACAGTAAATGGATTTAATATTATCAGTTTATCCAACATAATCTGTTACCTTGTCAGTTTGTTACAAGAAATAACAAGAAATTGATATTTGTTAATCTGTACCCTGTACTTTGTAGTAGGGTATAAACTTGATAAGAATTTTCTACAGCGAAATCCTATCATATCATATAGAAATGTTTAAATTTTCTTATAAGAAATATGATTGCATTGTGCATTCATTAATTCTGTTCAATGTAACTATGCACAAACATGTTACTTTGATGGATAATGATTATCAAAACAAGGTTAATATTTATTTGGAACACTGTAAATATCCACTGCTTATCTTATAAGTATAATTATATACTAATAAGTGCAGATTAAGTCATCATTCATATAAACAAAAGAAACCATAAATATTAACCATCCATATATATTTTTTAGGATGTAACATAATGTGGTCTCCAATGGTATACCTGTATGATACAAATAAATTATAACAATACAATGTTAAGTGGCCTTCTTTTATTTTAATATTATTTATTTAAAGTTAAGAGACAGAGAGTGATTAGCATATGACTTCAAAGAAGATTCAATTAAAATTTACTTTCATTGAACATTACATACTCATACATTACCTAATAAAATTCTAAGTAATGAAGGTTCTGCCCTAGTTTTGTTTTAAATATTTATTAGATTAAGAGTATAACTGTGTAGTTATTAAGGGCTTCATTATCAAGTGTAATTGAGATTAAATGGTTCAGAAAACTTGAGCTAATTAGTTCAATTATTTATTACTACTAGACTAGATAGATCATGTTTTAGTTACCAGTAATAGCTGCAAACATGAAAATAGGGAAGTATGTTATCTGAAAATGTTTGAACAATTAATAATAATTATGTTGACTGTATTACTCTGACCTTTTCAACGCGGCGGCTATAATAGACATGCGATACTTCTGGTGGTTAATCTCCTTCATGCAGGCAGCCTGCAACTCTCCAACTTCTTCCAATTTCGTAACATAGTCTTTGTTTACAACCTAAAAGAAAACAAAGACGCCTTAAAATGTTTTATATTTTCAATACTTTTAGTTGAATTTATCGGCGATACAAATACTGTACAGTGGCGTGTTACTAAACAGGGTGTATAAGTACTACATTCACACAGCCGAACCATAATATTAGCAATATCGTTAAGTATCAACAGGCTGCAAAATCAAAAATAACGTGAACAACGCATATAAATTCCATAAAAACAGACGATAAAATAATGCTAAGTATTCCAAGTAAAATCATTTACCTCTAAGCGCTTGTAATCCACCACTAAATCCTCCCATTCTTTAAGACACTCCTCTACATCCATTTTCTAAGTATTTCAAAATTCAATTATTATTTGCTTAAAAAAATCACGAGAATTCGACCGAATGTGTAAATTCCATTCCCGTTTTCAGTGACCTTTCGTCTGTCATCTGTCGTCGACCAGCCAGCTGTCGTTGCGTCGATACAGATTATATAAACAGTAGAGAGGTTCCTACCGATTAGTCGATTACCCATTCAAATTATTAAAAAAACAACAACTGTACGACGACGTTTACGTCTGTTCTATTCTATATATTATATTATTTATTAAACATAAATTATAAAAATAAAAAATAAAAATAAGTACCAACCACGTAAAATGCTAATAAAGACAAGCAGGCCAATGTCCCATGCACTTATAAGTAAATAATATGTGTTACAATATAATATTGTGTATACTTTTTTGGTCTACCGTGATGAGCAGGGATGCAGATCCACAATATTATTCCATTGAATATTTCCATTGTCGTATTTACATGGATAGTAACTAAAGATAAGTTTGGGATAGTAATGCTTCTGCACGAATACGATGCCACAGCTTCAGATAAAACCGGCCTGAAACAACGCTTGCGTAGTTTTTCGCCGTTAGTGAGATTACCAGATGCTTATTCCTATTCCTCTCCCGCCCCCAACCCCTAAATAACTGCCATGGTGTCCATGGGTAGCGCAAATTGCTTACCATAGGCTTTTATCGACGGAATCAAAAATTCAATCACAGATTAGAGACCGAATCTATGTTCTCCTAGATCGCGCATCGGACATACCTTTCAACAGACTTCAGACACCGGGCGGTGTCGGTTATTATTGTGCAGCAAAGAGCGTTGTTGAGTAAGTATTGAATCCTGAGGAACCCCCATCATTAATAGGTACCGGATTTGCCAGAACGGCAGCTGCTATTGACTACTACGGTACGGCCAATTGACTCATCCGGAACCCCTACCTCGGGGAAACTATTATTGATCTATATTTTTTCTACATATTCACCAGCAGGTAGTCAATATTTAGAAAAAGCTTGACAATTGGGCTATCGGGCCAGACACTGTCAAAATGGGCCTATGAATGGCACACGCAAGGCCTCAATAGATCGGTTATACATCTTACAGCTATGCCAGGAGTATTTTATATTCAGTAAACGCTCCATACTCCTACATAGTATGGATGTGATTAAGATAATTTTAGAGTCGGACAAAACAGGAGAGTCATCTTGACTCTCCTGTGTTTCAGAATAGAGTATTACTATATAATTATTTGCCCTCCGCTGGTTTCGAACCTGCGACATTGCAAACAAACTGCAGTCAATAATGAGGTATGTGAATGATGAAATTGTAATTCAAAACACACTGTAAAATAAATTAAATACTTGTTTATTTACATGAAACGCGAACCAAATCTATTTGGAGTTCGGTAATTAATTTTGACAAGTTACAGCAGTTATTACGAGTAACTGCAAAATTCTCCTATTTAACACACTTCAGTCACATATTCTTAGTGCTATTCTGTCGTAACCAGTAATCTAACATATTTTTGTTTTTTAATTATGTACCAAGAGAATTCTGCAAGTAGATAACTTACGTTGACGATATTATTCTTACGGTAATTACATTTTAAAAGTGCAAGATACTTATTTTAAAATTGCAATACAAATGATTTAATGAAGAACATTATGTTCAGCAGATTATTTGATACTAGGCGACAGCCATATTTCAAAGAGATTATATTTCTATGCCAAGATAATAATATAGCACGCGTAATAGTAGAGAGCGCCCTTTTAATTTTTTCTGTGATCAATTCCAGCTTAATGGCAATATGTTTAAGTACTCTGATTCGGCAAAGCTGTTGTGTGCTATATATTCCATATTATAAAAATGCTGTATTTAAGAGTACTATGATTAAAATGTAAAAAATATCTATTACATATATTTCAGGTCATAAATATAATGCACTATCAATCTATTAGAAATATGTCATATAAATGGAAATGATTGCAAATAAAAATGACTAGAAATTATGAATTGTGATGTATTGACATACAAAGTGTAAACAATTTATCAAATATTTTAGTACTAAGTTTGAGCTAACGATGGTCTAATACCTCCTACGTTTTATTGAAACGTAGTTGTAATTAATTGTTAAACGCTCTCTACGAATACGCCACAACACTACTCTATTACAATCTCCTTGGTCTCAGCATATTATTTTACGAATTCACACTGACAAAGCAAATATAATTCTTGTATAAGAATACCAAGTTAGCATCTATTTCGACAGCTGCGGCGCACGATACATACATCTCGATTAGAAATACAAAAGCAATAATGACATATCGTATAAGCGATAACTCCGTAAATATCATATATTAGCGTGGTGTTACCGGCCGTCATTATGTAAGCAATGTACATGTTGCATAATGTCATGCACTAACACAGCTGTTTCTAACAGTATGAGCGTACCTACGCAAACTACACTACAAACTAACCTCTACAACACCAGGCAACAAAATTATTCCGTATTACAATAAATAACTATTGATAGTAATAATGGATATTTTTAATTAAAAAACTAAAACCCGACCACGGATACGACATACATCAACGACAGCAATTTGCAGTGTTGCCATTTTGACATAATGGTGGTACTAAATATAGTTATTGTATAGATTGCAAAAATCATAATATTTCCTTTTGGCTTCGCCGTAGTCAGGTGTAAAGGCTTCAATTAAATTTTCTTTCAATCTAGCTACCTTAAGCAGGCCTGTAATTCAAAGTTTTAATTAAAGTTTATATCACACATTAATTTACTTAGACATAATTATGATGACATAAATGAAATTGGCTTAATATTAATTAATAAACGTAAAACATGAATTGTATTACAATTACCCATTTAGCAATTCAATGCTCTATACTTAACAAAAATGTTTGAGACAAAAATAAAAAGTGACAATATAAATAAATAAAATTTTGAAATATAACTTTTTCTAACTTATAGTTAAAGTTTTGAATTGCCAAAACTTAAAATAAGTCTCTAGGAAACCGATTGATATAAAATCCTACAAACGTCGCTACATTACTTCGTTCGGTTTCGTTGTCTCCATAGATATTCATTAATGTTGTTGGCGGCGGTGCTAACAAACATAATGAACATCGTATCGAGCTGAGACAAACATCAAAAGCCTTATGTACACTACTATTGTTGATGGAGCATTTATGATGAGTTTAAAGTGTGTTCATTAATTAATTGAATGCTTGTTGTCATGAATAACTATCAATATCAAATTTTATAAAACTAACATTATTAATAAAGAAATCAAGGTACAAAAATCTGATTGGCTGGGTAATAAATCAAATTACTTATTTATAACAAATAAAATTTATATCTAAACGTTTTACGAATAAACAATAACTATCAAATAAAACAGGACAATTGAAAGTTTATAATAACACACACAGCTCCTCACTCCATCGTTGCGAGCGGTACATGACGAATGCTACGTCACTGCTAACTAGAGTAGGGTCCAAATTTTTGCAAAATTCGGAGATATCAATTTAACTAAAAAAATATACAGAAACTATGCGCCATTATACTTTAATGGAATGTGTGAATCTAACCGAAGAAGTTGAATACAAAAAGAGAATCGGGACTAAGTCAGACACCAATTTAAATAAAGGAGACATAGCATCGTCAGGTGTACGAGAAAAAACTACAATGAGCTGGAGGCAGAGACAAGAGTCTCTCCTTTACAAATGATTGACAATAATAACAGCAGCTTACATCGCTCTCATTGTAGCTACAACGCGAAATAATAATGATAAGGATATCATCGGTGAGTTTAAGTTACTAAAATGGCAACGCTCTTAGCGACACTCCCAAACTTTGACGGTCTGATCAACGCTGCCTGATATCACGTATGGCAAGCTCCTGTGGAAATCTGTAAAAGCAATAATGATCACGGATTAGTAAGAAGTTACTGTTTTTAACAAGTGTAATATCAGTTTAACAACATTCACAAAATAGATCTCAAAGTTGAAAATGTAAAGTGTAAAAATAGATAATAGTTCGAACCGAGGCTGGTGGCGAAGTGTTGGTGCGCGTAGAGCGTCTTGAGGCAGCGCGTGTGTGCGACGTCCCAGACACGGAGCGTCTTGTCGTCGGACGCCGTGAGCAGGTAGCGGCCGCCCGGGTGCCAGGCCGCGCCGCGCACCCAGTTGTCGTGCCCCACCAGCGTCGCCAGGCACTGCCCCGTGCTCACGTCCCAGATCTACGGCCATACATTGTACATTGTTTACTGATTATGACACATTCACGTAATTTGCGTTATATGTATAGAGAAGTAAATTGAGTTAATTATCAACTTTCGATACCCGGGCTAAGCAAGATGCTAGTTTTAAAATTATAAAAAAAATATCTTGATGAATGTTTTGGAAATAAAAAGGATTGAATTTGGCTAGTTAGAGAAATCCCTATTTTGAGAAAAACTCCTTGAATTGTTTGTACCTTGACGGATTTATCACGTGAGCCGCTGGCGAGGAAGGGTCCGGCGTGGTTGGCGCGGCGGTTGTCAGTGCCGGCCGCCTCGTTGATGGCAGCGGCCGCAGCCTCGGGCGCCCACGACACGCACTCCACTACGTGCTCGTGTTCACGTAGCTCCATCTGCACAATTTACATAAACTTCAATGTCGAAATAAGGAATTGACGCCATGGAACATTGTCTGCTGCCTGACTGAGTGTGACTTCAAACTATACGAGATACCTCGTCAAGTTTAATAGCCAAAAAGGAGTTCAACAAAACAACTTTGGTTTTAATCAGCTAAGATTCTAAGGAGCTCATAAACTCATAAGAGCCTCTAGCAATCGAAAAAAATCACCAATAATGTTGCAAGTAAATAAAGGTGTCTTGTAACATTTGTAACGTAACTTGTAAATGTGCGAGTGTGTAAGCTGTACCTTGCATTCGTTGGTGTCAGCGTTCCAGATGCGCACAGTTTGGTCATTGGAGCAGGAGGCGAGTAGCGTGCCGTCAGGAGACACGCGCACCATGCGCACCCACTCGCGATGACCTTTGTACGTCTTGATGCAATACCTGATTGCGACATAAACAATCTGTTA